CAAAATTTGAACATGCTGGTCATCGGATGTGTAACATCTTTTTTTCCTTCTCAAGTCTTTCATTTCTTTAAGGACACAGTGACAACATTCAGAAAACATTCTGAAAGACTCCAGGTCCCTGCAAGGCCACCCTGTCCCCAGGGCTGTTGGCACCCTCCTCCTCGCCCCTGTCCTCGCGTGGACCACAGCCCGTGTCGTCGGCCACCTGCGGCGCCGGGGCCCCCTCCTGCAGCCGGGCTTGCTGCTTTCTCTCTGGTTCACCAGGGGGCGGCCTTAGATTCAGCCACACACCCAGGCCCCCTCGCATCGTCCCAGCAGCCCGTTCTCAAACCAGTTCTGTCTAACTTCAGAGCCTGTGCCTTTTGCCATGACGCTGGACCATTGAGTCTCCGCTGTTTGCGTTTGTCAGTGTATCATCAGCATTTTTAATCGTCTTTCATGGGCCAGTTTTAATGAGGGACTGTTACTTGTTAGGGCTTCCCAGGTGGCACTAGTGGTAAAGAATCCTGCTGGAGACTCGGGAGACGCGGGTTCAATCCCTGTCAGGAAGATCCCCTGGAGGAGGAAATGGCAACCCACTCCAGCATTCTTGCCTGGAGAATCTGAAGAGCCTGGTGGGCTCCTGTCCGCGGGGTCACAAAGACGCAGACACGACTGAAGCGACTGAGCGTGTGTGTTACTTGTTCGGTTCTGTGTGAGCTTCTAACTGCTTTGCTTGGAATACTTCATTTAATACTCACGAGACTCTTAAAGCACACACACCGAGAATACCCCAGTTTTCCTTATGAGGAGAACAGATCGGATGCTTTAAGAGATTTTCCCAGAGACACACAGTCCTGGAAGGCATTCTTTTCAACGGCTAAATTATATTCTTCCATGAATGTGCACCCTGGTGCATTCAGCTGTTCCTCACAGGGAACTCTTTCAGTTCAATCGCTCAGTCATGTCCGAGTCTTTGCAGCTCCATGGACTGTAGCATGCCAGGCTTCCCTGTCCATCACCAACTCCTGGAGCCAACTCAAACTCATGTCCATAGAGTCGGTGATGCCATCCAATCATCTCATCCTGTTGTCCCCTTCTCCTCCTGCCTTCAATCCTTCCCAGCATCAGGGTCTTTTCCACTGAGTTAGTTCTTCGCGTCAGGTGGCCAAAGTATTGGGAGCTTCAGCTTCAGCATCAGTCCTTCCAGTGAATATTCAGGACTGATTTCCTTTAGGAAGGACTGGTTGAATCTCCTTGCAGTCCAACGGATTCTCAAGAGCCTTCCCCAACACCACAGTTCAAAAGCATCAGTTCTTTAGCGCTCAGCTTTCTTTATGGTCCAGCTCTCACGTCCATACACAACTACTGGAAAAACCATAGCTTTGACTAGATGGACCTTTGTCGGTAATGTCTCTGCTTTTTAATATGCTGTCTAGGTTGGTCACAAGTTTTCTTCCAAGGAGTAAGTGTCTTTAATTTCATGGCTACAGTCACCCTCTGCAGTGATTTTGGAGCCTGAGACAATAAAAGTCTGTCAGTGTTTCCATTGTTTCTCCATCTATTTGCCATGAAGTGATGGGACCAGATGCCATGATCTTTGTGTTTTGAATGTTGAGTTTTAAGCCAGCTTTTTCACTCTCCTCTTTCACTTTCATCAAGAGGCTCTTTAGTTCTTCTTCACTTTCTGCCATAAGGGTGGTGTCATCTGCATATCTGAGGTTATTGATATTTCTTCTGGCAATCTTGATTCCAGCTTGTGCTTCATCCAGTCCAGCATTTCTCATGATGTATTCTGCATATAAGTTAAATAAGCAAGATGAAAATATACAGCCTTGACAGCTGTTTACAATTAGGATGTAGGTTTGGTTTTTGTAACAGAGGTTGGAATAGCAAGGGTGAGATGGATTTCTTTTGCATATAACAGCCCCATAATGTAACCTGATATGGTAGCGCCAGGCCCTTTCTGTTCTGTTGGTCTGTTTCCCAATGTCCATTTTATGGCCCACTGTGGCTGCTCCAGCTCCTGCCATCACACCCACATTCTGGCCATTAGGAAGGGGAGAAGTGTAGAAGACACTCTCTTTCTCCTGAGGGCACGAACCATCCACATCTCACTGACCAGCGCAGTCTCACGGGCGCACGAGATGCAGAGAAACATCGTCCTTAGTCCAGCGGCCATGCATCCAGCTGAGACGAGTTTGTTGTTGCAGCAGGAGAGATGCGTGTCCGGGGCACTAGCCGTCTCTGTTGCAGTGTACCCTCTCAGCGCTCCCTGGGATTTGTGGCCTGGGGGACCAGTGGTCCTCCTCTGCTCCTGCTCCTAGAACACCTTTTCTTCAGCCCCCACCCACCACCACCACCACAGTACTTGGCCCCTGTCTTTCTGGGTGAGGCACCCCCAAATGTCCACCTCCCCCACCCCCAGCAGCCTACAGACTACTCTCATCTCTGCGAATTAGGGCAAGAGTTCTGAGGCGAGCTCTCAAGGGACCACCCTGCGAGATGGGTGGATGCTTGCCGGGGCCGTCCCTGGGCTGGTGGGCGGTGGTTTCAGCACGCACCCCCACCTTCAGCCGGGGCCCCATCAGCACAGGCAGATTGCGCCCGGGTTCAGACTGCATGTGGGCACCTTCGGGAGGATAGCTTTAACTGCAGAACGCACTCATTAAAACTCCAGCCAGAGCCCTAAACCAGAATGGGCCAGCTCTGCGAGCACCCCGGGGAGGCATCTGTTTAATCAAGGAGCTCCACAGTATCTCCTCTTCCCCCCTCCTCCTCCTCCTCCTGAGTAGTGGATTGGCAGCCTCGGGATAATTCTTGGAAGAGTGAATCAGAAGAAGCTTCTGAAATAGCTGTTGCAGTAAATACTGTGAAAATGTTTATGGTTATTGGGAAATCACTGTTCCAGTGGGAAACGGTCCTGCTAGTATCAGTTATCGATGGCAGTTGATTTTGCTACTGACGGCGTGCCCACATCCCTGACCTGTAAATCGCCGTGTTTTGTTTCACTGAAGCCCCAGGCCGTGTACGTGTACGTCTATCCGGTGCCTTGGGTTTGGACTGGAAAGCGCCCAGGAGAGGATCGCGCCTGCCCTGAGCATGCAGGGCCCCAGAGGCGTTAGGGCAGGTGGGCGCAGAGCAAAGTCAGGCAGCGAAGCAGAGGGAAGGGGGCCTGAAGGTGCTCCCCGGCATCACGCCGCTCCTCCTCCCAAGCTCGTCCCTCAGGGATCACGTGCCTCTTCTCATCTGAACCCCAAACCCCGTTTTCCAGGATCCCCCCCACCCCCCGTCTTGTGACCTCTACCAGAGGCCAGAAGCCACACCCCCTCCCTAGTTGTCCTGACAGTTGCAGCTATACGAGGATCTCAAGGTTGTGGTCTGACCCCATGCTAGCGCGGGGACTTTTCAGGGCGGCAGGAAGTCAGAACTCCCCCTCCTCTGGCCGAGAGGAGCATGTAGCTTGTTTTGTGGATTTGCTGCAGTTAAGGGCTGTAGAAACTCTCTAACTGTCTGTCACCAGCACTGCCTTCCTCCTTGGCACTGTTGACACGGGGGTGTGTGTGTCCGTGGGCACAGACTCCCCCGCTCTTCATCTGGCCGATGCTCACTGGTGGCGCTCACCTGTCCTCAGCCCGCTCCCAGGCTCGGGGACGCTGGGCCCATCTTGGACTCAGCGGGGATGCACATTGACTGCGAGTTACAGAAGCGTTCTGGCCTCCGGGTCTGGGGAGACTCCAGGCCTCAGAAGGCATCTTAGGCAAATGTGTGATGTGGCCTTTTAGCCAAAGTGCTGACCGAGTACATCTCCGCTGGGTGGTGGGGAGACTGAGGCAAGTGGAGGGGACAGCGGAGGCTTCTTTCTTATAAGACGGAAACAGCAGGCTGTTACAGTGGCCCTGTAAGCAGAAGCATGGATGATGTTGCCGTTACAGACCTCCCCTGACATTCTGGTGCTGAGTCAGAAGAGCATCAAACAGGAAGACTGTTGGAACAGTACCAAGATCCCCTTGTTCTGATTTTAGATTTGGAAATACGAGCCCATCAGCAGTGAACCGGGCATCGTGGTGCCTCCCCGCCTGCCGTGGGGCTCTGCCTTCACGGCCACATGCAGCCCCTCTCTGCTCTGGTTCTCTAGAAGAATCTGCACCGGCCAGTCGAGCCAGTTGGCGCTCCTGACATCCTCTGTGAGATGCAGGCAGTGGCTCTGAACGTAGATGCTTGCACTGCTGAGTCACGTAGGGAGAGGTGGGCCCTCCCAGCAGGAGGCTGACACACACCCCTCTTGGCCGGTGGGGCGCTGGGGTCCCCGCTTGCTGGGTCCCAGAGCCTGTTCTAACAGGTTCTTAAATCCCCCTCCTGAAAGCCTATCTTACTGAGAGAAAAGGGAATGCAACTGAAGTGGTGCTTGCTATATCCATGATTTGCTACTTAGACGCTGAATTGGTTGACAGGACCAACTGTCAGGCGCTTTTGGGTGTGGACCCAGGGCCTGCTCCTGGGTTAGCGGCTTGTGGAGGACTTGGCCTGTAGAAATCAGAGGGTGTGCTGGACAGGCAGCGCCCTCCTTTACAGGCGGGGCCTTCTCAGAGGGCGAAGAGCGCTGGGCTCCCCTGCACACACGGAGAGGAGTTCAGGTCTGTGACGGGCTGGGCGGCGGTCACCGGCAGTGGAGGACACGGGGTTACCTCGGGCCCAGGGCACCTCCTGTCAGACCCCCGTCCGCACCTGCGGCTGCGGCTGCTGCTCAGGGCAGGGAGCACTCCTCGAGGTGCTGGATCCACGCGGAGGCCCGGAAGCGGCTCCTGCGGCCGGAGCTGGCGTGGGCGGGGACACGGGTGGGGGCCCGTTGGGGGCAGAGGTTTCTGCCTGCCCGGCCGGCCCTGTCCCAAGAGATGAGGACGCGCATGGGGCACGGGTTCGGGCACATGGGCGCGCAGGGCAAGGCCGATCCTGCGCACAGGTGAAGCAGGCCGCCGCTCCCCGCGCTGGTCCTAACGACTGCTGCGCTTCCGTTGCAGGTGCACCTTCCGCTTCCCCAGCACGGCGATAAAGATCCAGTTCACGTCGCTGTACCACCAGGAGGAGGCCCCCGCGTCCCCCCTGCGGCCGCTCTACCCACAGATCTCCCCGCTGAAGATCCACATCCCGGAGCCGGACCTCCGGAGCCTGGTCAGCCCCATCCCTTCCCCGACCGGCACCATCAGGTGAGCGGCCGGGCCGGCCCGAGCTGCCGCTGCCCAACGAACCCGGGGTGTTGGGCTCCAGAACGCGGCTGAGGAAGAGGAAAGTGATACAAGGAGGGTATTCTGTGCTTGATTCGCTGTGGAGCCTGGTTCTGGAAAAAGGGCCGTGGGCGGAAAATTTGAAACTATTTTAAGCGCATCAGGGGACCTGACAACTTGAACAGAGTCTCTGGAGAGTGCTCTTACAAAGTGAAGAATCACTCCCTAATTAGTCCACCTTTCCAGTTTGAAATTCTGTACATTAGGGCCTTTGAAAGCAGGCATAGGTACCTTTTTTTTTTTTACAGACAGTGAAACTATTTAAAAGGAGGGTTTGCACACCAGGATTTGGTGGACTTGGTTTTTCTAAACTTCGTAAAAATCCTTTCCAAAGTTTTAGAAATTAATCTAGATGTTGAAGAAAGGCAGGTCCTCACGCGTTCTCCCCTGGGGGAAGGCTTGTGGGCAACGCCCACAACCAGAGCGGGGGTTGCGGGGGCAGCTGCCCCCCGGGCACAGCGGTCCTGTGCCTTCCTCCCCTTTTGTTGTAAAACATGTTGAAAGACATGGATTTGAGGATCAAGATTTAATAAACTTTAAAGCAGTTTACTGCTCCGTTAAGGACATTTTAAAACGAGACGGGCCCTGGAGATCCCATCTGATGCCGGTGCCTCGGTTCCGCCACCGCAGATCGGGCTTCATCACACATTGCCCGGAGGAGTGGCAGACCGTGTCTCAGGGTCGGCGTGAAGCTAGTTTCGAGCTCATGTCCTCCCTGAAGCGGTCTCAGGGGCCCTGGGGGCCACACTCTGGCCGCGCTCCCCCAGCAGAGCTGGAGCTCGGCACCCCCAGGCATCATCCAGGACAGTCTGCTCTCCGCTGCCCAGCCCACTCGGGGCCCGGTTTTGCACTTTAAAGGTTTACATTTAGAAGCTCAGGTCGGTTCATCTCAGCATGGTCGCCGGCCTTACGTGTGCCCTGTGTTCCCCCCCCACCACTGTGTCCGTCACCAGCTGGGAGCCACTTGCATTGAGCTGCCTGGAGTCAGTTCCCTCCCGAGCCGGTGAGCAGGCATGTTTCTCTTGGGGAGAGCGCTCAGGGATGCCTTTGAAAGGTCACAGCCCAGAACTCAGGTCTGGGACCCCAGTTCGGGTTCTGGCCACATCTCCAGTTGGTGGGAGACCCGGGGGCAGGTCTCTGCAGCCTCCTCGGGCCGTGTCCTCTCTGTCGACGAAGCCCACCCTCTAGGACCACGGTGGCCCGGGATGGCAGGGAGGAGCAGTGAGTGAGGCCTGCCGTGGGCCGGGCCGCCGCTCAGCCCCTGCGTTCACAAGGCCGGTTCTGTCCTAAGCCCCTTTCAGGTTCCCAGCAACGGCTCTGTCCTCAAACCCAAAGCGTACCACATCACCTCCCTGTCCTTCCTGACGTCTACCCTGAGAACAACCGAAAACACGAGGGCTCCGCGTGAGTTCATGGTGAAGTCATGCTGTGAAAATGCTCCGGCACTCATACATCTATAATTTATGCACTGATAAAAAAAATTATGTGTCGTAAAACGAAGCAGCCACTTTGGGAAACAGTCTGGCCGTTCTCCAAAACATTAAAGGGTTTACCTCAACCGCCCAGCGAGGCACTGGGTCGTGAGGTCTCCGTGGAAACCCGCCCTGCGGGGCTCAGGGCAGTGTTATTCATAGCCGCCTCCAAAATGGAGACAAGGCAGATGTCCGTCAGCTGCTGAGCAGAGGGAAACTGTTGCAGCCACGGCGTGGAGTGTTGCTTGGAGTAAAAAGGAGCCAAGTACTGGCACCCGGTGCGGCGTGGGTGACCCCTGAAAACGTGATGCAGGAGGAAAGGAACCAGTCCGCAGGAGACCACGGGCTGTGGTTCCGTGGACAGGCAGTGTCCAGAACAGGCACAGCCTTAGAGGAAGAGAGTAGATAGCAGTTGCCAGGGACTCGGGAGGTTTAAGGGAGTTGCGGCTCCCTGTCCTGGGTTTCTTTCTGGGGTAATGACCATGTTGTGGCGCGAGATGGTGGTCACACCACTCCAGACACTAAAAACCCCCGAGCTGTACACTGCAAAAGGGGGGCCCTGTGTGGTGTGCATAGCGCGGGGAGCTGGCACCGAAGCTCTGCTCGGGACACCTTCACCCCGCAGCACCTGGGGCAGCGGCGGGGACGCCGGCCAGGCACGTGCCCCGCGCCGCCGGGAGCCCACGGGCCTGTCCCGGGCCGGGTGCGACCGCGCTCCGAGGCCCTTGCACGCCCGCCAAAACCAGCTCAGACTGGCATGGGGCTGTGAACTACGATCCAGCCACATCGACGGCTTTTACCAACAAAGTGTTTTGGTTTCTACCTGGGGAGCTTCATGGAATAAATAAAATCCCAGTAACATTTTGAATAAAAGCAGCGGTCAGCAGGTCGAGCTGGGGTAGCGACCCGTGAGTGTGGAGGCCTGTGTGCCTGGGGGAGGCGGCGGCTCTAGACAGGGGCCAGGGTTAGGGTAGAAGGGGGTCCCGGAGCAGAAATGGGCCCGGGGGGGGGGGGGGGCGGGGAAGGGCTGTGAGCGGGGCTCGGAGACGGGCTGCGGGGAGGGGCGGGGCGGGCAGCGCGGGGTGGAGCATCTTTGCGGGAAGGCGGTAGCTTTGAGACGAGCGCCCGCACTCTTGGCCTCTAATTAAGTGTCACAGGGAAGGATTTCTGTTTACATCCGCTTCTCTGCGCGCTGCGGAGTCGACTGCGCGCTGGAAACCTCAGGGGCCCTTGAGGTTTTGCTGCCCGGATCTCCTCGCTCCCGCCCCGCCGCAGGAGCAGGGCGGGGCCGGCGTGTTTACAAACAGCCGCCCCCCTCTTTCCCAGCCCCTCCCTGCGCCCCAGGTCCGCGCGGATCGCCGGGGAGGTGGGCGGCGGCCCGGGCCGCGGGTGTCCCCGTAGGGTGCCCCCCGCCCCCTCTCCCCAGCCTTCTTCGTTTGCCGCGTCTGCGCCCGCAGCCGGGTCGGTCGGCTCGCTGGGGCTCGGAGAGCTCGGTCTGGGCCGGCGCCCTCCAGGACTAGGTGGGCTGGACCAGCCGGAGCCGCCCGCCGCCCGCCCCTTCCCTGCGGCGGGCGGGGGCGGGCGGTTTTTTTCCTGGGCTGAAGTACTCCACCCAGAAAATGAAGGAACTCTCCTTGGAACAAGTTCTGCTATCTTAAGCAGTGTTTTGTTGCCTTTTTTTTCTTTTCCCATTTTGCACTGAACTGGTGTCTTTAAGAAAGAACCGGTTGGTTAATCATTTTCTGGGTGTTACAAAACGAGACTAATCCTTAGAGCTGCAGTTTAAAGAAGACTGCTGGAATTCAACCCGAGAAGGAGGGCAGCACCGACAGAGCAGCCGACTGGTGGCTCAGGCAGTAAAGAATCCGCCTGCAATGGGGGAGACCTGGGTTCGATCCCAGGGTCGGGAAGATCCCCTGGAGGAGAAAATGGCATCCCGCACGGGTATTCTTGCCTGGGGAATCCCAAGGACAGAGAAGTCTGGTGGGCTGCAGTCCATGGGGTCGCAAAGAGTCCGACAGGGCTGAACGTCTAAACACACAAGACTTCAGAAGCTATTTCTTGAGAAAGGCCTTTCTTGATTTTTCTAATTTAGAGATCACAAAACCAAAAGTAACCTGCTTTGTGGAATTCGTCCAAGGTTGGCAGAACCCTGTGTGAAATGAACATTAAGCCACCGGCCTCGGTTCCCACCACTTGTCACCCTGACCTCGCAATTCGTTCTGGCTTCACTGCGGCGGGAAAGTTGGTCCTTACTCTGCATCGTTGTGTCTTCCGAGTTCGGATGGGGCCTTAGAAGGCTGTTGTGTTTCTGACAGACTTTGGCTCCTACCTGAGGGTGATTTACTCCGCATTTCGGTTCTCCCGATGACCCGGAGAGGAGGCTGCCTGTGCGCCTGTGGCCCCCGCCGCAACCCCCGTCCCCCCGCCCTGCAACCCCACACCCACCTGGTCCCTTTCCTTATCTGGAAACTGGGGAAAGATAAAAATTGGCTCCTCGACACAGAAAGATGTGGCCTTCCATGTTCTTTATGGTTCTCTTCCTGCCTCTCCAGGAATCCGTGCCAGGGGGCCTTTTGGCCGTAAATTGTTGAGAGGAGGTGGGCTGGGCTTGTTGTGCTGCAGTCCCGTCTCCAGGGGGACGCTGGGGCCCCAAAAAGATCCTGCCTCGAGTGTTCCTGGGTGTGCCTTCAGGGCAACGCCCGCCTGGCATCCTGCTGCCGGGGGCCCTTCCTTTCCCGATGACAGCTGTGGTTCAGGAAGCAGGCAGAGTGAGGGGGAGGAGCAGAGGGAGGCCTGGGGCCCCCTGCCTGCCAGGAGAGAGAGGCTCTGGGAGGTCTGTTCTCACTGGGACGCCTTGCATTTCAGACACCAGCTCCCCCTTCTGCAGTCACTTCCCGAGGTTTCACAGCACAGTTTCTCTTTCGGGGGCACAGACCTGCTTAAGAGAACTCTGAGAAACTGGCCTCCGTGAATTCTCTTGGCCTGTTCTTTGTTTTCTCCCCAGATTACAGAAATACTGTGTGAGCACTACACAAAATAAGAGATGTTTCAGAAAGTGCAGACCCCTCAGTGACGCCCCTGGAGAGAAGGCCGTGTCTACAGGGGCCTCTTGGTGTGAACGTGCAGAGCGCTCGTCCGATGGGCGTCAGTACTTGTGAGCCCGCCCCAGAAGGGCGCTGTGGAGCCCAGAGGGTCCTGCCGCTTGTTTTTCCTCCTGTCCCTCTCTCTGCCCCTTCCCTTGTCACTGCATCACTCGTGGCTACACGTTTGACTGGTTCAACGTGGCCTTGGTTGACCAGTTCACCCACAAGAGCCACGCGGCTCTTGCCGGTTTCTTAGTTTTGTGGGCAGTTCAGCAGCCGGTCTGGTTTGAAGTCACCTCTCTGAGTGAGTGAGTGACTGAAAGTCGCTCACTGGTGTCCCGATTCTTTGCAACCCCATGGACTATACAGTCCATGGAATTCTCCAGGCAAGAATACTGGGGTGGGTAGCCTGCCCCTTCTCCAGGGGATCTTCCCAACCCAGGGATTGAACCCAGGTCTCCCGCTTACAGGCGGATTCTTTACCAGCTGAGCCCCCAGGGAAGCCCTTTGCCTCTCTGAGACATCTATAAACGGCTTATGCTGAGGCCATCAAACCCTGAGCTTTGATTATTTTGTTTACAATACTCATTAGGGTCTTGAGCCACAGGATTTTAAGAACAGCGATTAAAAGACAGAGATCTCTTCAAGAAAACAAGAGATACCAAGGGAACATTTCATGCAAAGTTGGACACAATAAAGGACCTATGCACCTAACAGAAGGAGACGATATTAAGGACAGGTGGCAAGAATACACAGAACTATACAAAAAAGATCTCAATGACCCAGATAACCACGATGGTGTGATCACTCACCTAGAGCCAGAATCCTGGAATTCGAAGTCAAGTGGGCCTTAGGAAGCATCACAATGAACAAAGCTAGTGGAGGCAATGGAATTCCAGTTGAGCTATTTCAAATCCTGAAAGATGATGCTGAGAAAGTGCTGCCCTCAATATGCCAGCAAATTTGGAAAACTCAGCAGTGGTCACAGGACTGGAAAAGGTCAGTTTTCGTTCTAATCCCAAAGAAAGACAATCCAAAGAATGTTCAAACCACCGCACAGTTGCACTCATCTCACACACTAGGAAAGTAATGCTCAAAATTCTCCAAGCCAGGCTTCAACAGTATGTGAACTGAGAAATTCCAGATGTTCAAGCTGGATTTAGAAAAGGCAGAGGAGCCAGAGATCAAATTGCCAACATCCATTGGATCATATAAAAAGCAAGAGAGTTCCAGAAAAACATCTGCTTTACTAAACTACGCCAAAGCCTTTGACTCTGTGGGTCACAACAAACTGTGGAAAATTCTTCAAGAGATGGACCTGCCCTGCTTCCTGAGAAACCTGTATGTAGGTCAAGAAGTAACAGTTAGAATTGGACATGGAACAGTGGACTGGTTCCAAATCGGGAAAGTACGTCAAGGCTGTATATTGTCAGCTTGCTTCCTTAAATTATATGCAGAGTACATCATGTGAAACGCTGGGCTGGATGAAGCACAAGCTGGAATCAAGATTGCCGGGAGAAATATCAGTAATCTCAGATATGTAGATGACACCATCCTTATGACAGAAAGCAAAGAGGAATTAAAGAGCCTCTTGATGAAAGTGAAAGAGGTGAGTGAAAAAGCTGGCTTAAAACTCATCATTCAAAAATGAAGATCATAGATAGCATCTGGTTCCATCACTTCATGGCAAGTAGACAGGGAAGCAATGACAGACTTTTATTTTCTCGGGCTCCAAAATCACTGCAGATGGTGACTACAGCCATGAAATTAGAAGACGCTTACTCCTTGGAAGGAAAGTTATGACCAACCTAGACAGCATATTAAAAAGCAGAGACATTACTTTACCAACAAAGGTCTGTGTCGTCAAGGCTATGGTTTTTCCAGTGGTCATGTATGGATGTGAGAGTTGGACTATAAAGAAAGCTGAGAGCCAAAGAATTGATGCTTTTGAACTGTGGTGATGGAGAAGACTCTTGAGAGTCCCTTGGACTGCAAGGAGATCCAACCAGTCCATCCTAAAGGAAATCAGTCCTGAATATTCATTGGAAGGACTGATGCTGAGGCTGAAGCTCCAATGCTTTGGCCACCTGATGTGAAGAACTAATTCATTGGAAAAGACCCTGATGCTGGGAAAGATTGAAGGCGGGAGGAGAAGGGGACAACAGAGGATGAGATGGTTGGATGGCATCACCAACTCAATGGACATGAGTTTGAGCGAGCTCTGGGAGTTGGTGATGGACAGGGAGGCCTGGCGTGCTGCAGTCCATGGGGTCGCAGAGTCGGACACGACTGAGCTGAAGAAAGCAGAGGCTTCTGCAGGCCGGCCACTCCCCCCGGTCCTCAGGCCCCTCAGCACCTCCTCAGTCCGGTTCCTCAGCCTCAGATCATCAGCCTGCCCACCAGATCATCGTCCCAAGCCCGTGGGATACAGGGCTTGGCTTTTCCTCCTCACCGTCCTCATGGTGAGACCAGCGTCACAAGTGTTGGTTACTGTCCCCTGAGCAGCCGTGTGCCGGTCACACTGTTCAGCCTGAGCTCCCGGGACTGGCCGCCCCTGGAGCAGGCAGCTCTTTGCTAAAGCCTGGCGTCCCAGCAGGGCCCATCTAGAGATGCCCTGTGTGTTTACTCTGTGAATCTTCCCTGTTGTGCTGACGGTCAGGGGATTTGACGTGGACTAGGAAACTCCCTTGGGGGACATTCAGTGTGGTGGTCAGTTCCTCCAGTCATCTCTGAGTCGCACATTCTCCGCCCAGAGATAATCCTGCTCGCCTGCCTCCTGCTCTGCCCCACCCCCCACCCCTGGACCTGTGACCCAAGGGCGGCCGGGTACCAGGCACAGCCCTCTGGGCCCAGGCCAGCCCGTGGGGACACTGAATGGGGCTTATTGAGGCTGGGGCCACCGTGCATGTGGACACACGTTCTCCAGGCCAAGCCCCCCAGGCCTTCCGGGCATCAGCGGTGCCCTGTGCCCGAGGAAGCTTCCCCGGGGAGGGTGTCAGCACCAGCCTCCCCCCGCCCCGTGGAAAGCGGCCTCCCCTCCCACTGGAGAGCCAGTCTTGCTGCCTGTTCACTGTTTCCACTGGAAACTGTTCTGTGAGGGGTGACAGCCTTTCCTCTGGGTTTTGCCTTTAGGGCATTAGATGTAAACCTTCTGAGATGTTTTACAAAGTATGGACTTGGGATGGGCAGTGGACCCCAGTGCCCAAGCCCAGAGTCCCGTCTGCCATCTGCACTGGTCAGGCTGCCCCGTGGGTCATGCAGGTCAGATGCCAGCGAGGTTTTCCCAGATGGAACCCTGCGCACCCACCAAACTGGACATCACCTGAATCTGTCTGCTGGGGGCTGGTATGTTTCTGGGGGACGCGTCTCACCCCTGTGGTCAGAGAATGGACCAAGTGTTGCCCGAAGCGGTGCCGAACCCATCCGGGACTGGAGCCTGTGCCCCGGCGCCTCTGCACTGGCGGGTCCTGCAGCATTTTCAGGACTCTTCAGGAACCCCCTCTCCCTACCCCCATCCGAGCTGAACACCCTTGTGCTGTGGTGGTTGGCTCCCCGATGGACACATTTGGAAACCTGATGCTGAGTGTGTAAACGTGTCACCAGTAAGACGCTTTCCCTCCCCTCCCATCCTACTTTAAAAGCTTGGGTTTTGTATGTTTGGTTCAAAATGAAATTCAGAAAGAGCTGCTTTTATTACTGCTTCCTACCTCTCAGCAGCTGGTTTATTATTGTTGGTTAAAGTGTCTGTACTCGCAGGACTTAACCTGTCTCTGTATCTGCGGAGTCTAGTTGAGAGGGGAATGATTCCTGAAAATTCCCACCTGGGTTTCTGGGATTCCCAACCCCAAAGGGGGTGACGGTAGTGGAATTCATCATTAATATCAACTGCCCCCTTTTTCTCAGTCACAGTGTTTTGCTTTTTCTTTCATCCCTCCCTGAGATGGGTAACCATCTCTTGAGCCCCTCCTAGGAGCCACAGAGGGCTCCCCACCTTGGAGGAGCAGGGCAGGGAAGCCAGAGACAGCAGCCCAGCCAGAGAGGAGGCTCTGCGTGTGTGTCCAGGAAACTGGAACGGAGGGCTTTCGTGTGAATTTGACTTACGGGGGAGTTGGGGGCATCTTGTCCCATGGACAGTGAAGGGAGACACCCTCCGGGGCTGTGGGGAGTGGGCCTGGGAGGCCCCCCTGCAGGTGAGGCGGATGCAGGGGGCGCTGGGGATGCGTGGAAGGAGACGGTGACCACCAGCTCTGGTCAGCCCCCAGCTCGGGACACTTCATACCTGGACTTGTGGCCCACTTTTAGAGTTTATGGCTGTTTTCTCTGAATACTTTCAATTTTCAAAATCAAACTTTCCACACGGCCTGACAACCGCAGCCCACTTGTTCGCGGCAGGAACCTGGCCACGCCTGTCGGTGGAACCCTGGGCGGCCTTTGCGCCGAAAGCACTGCGGCACGGAGGGGGAGCCCCACCGTTTCCCGCCCCCGGACCGGCGCGCGGCTTCCCACCGGGGCCGGGGGCGCGGGGTGGGGGGGCCGGCCGAGCACGTGTCTCCGCGCGGCCTCCCCGCGGCCGTCCCGTAGGGCCGGACAGCGCGGCCTCCGTCCGGGGTCGGACCTCAGGACGCGTCCTTTCTCTCCGCAGTGTCCCCAACTCCTGCCCAGCCAGCCCCCGAGGGGCCGGTTCCTCCAGCTACCGCTCCGTCCAGAACGTGACCTCCGACCTGCAGCTGGCCGCAGAGTACGCCGCGAGGGCCGCTGAGCAGCAGGCTGACGCGTCCGGAGGGGACAGCCCCAAGGTCTCAGCCCTGGGCGCGCTGGCCGGTGCCCGGCAGGCGCAGGTGTCCCTGCCCCCCTCCCCGAGCCCCGTTTGTCCCGTCCGCGGGCCGGGTCAGCTCCAGAGCCTCCTCACGGCCTCCAGGAGGGCGTCAGGCTTCTCACCTCTCGGCTTAGTCTTAGTTCATTCCCATCAGACAGCTGTCCTTAAATCAGTTTGCAGAGGAGGTGGTAAATCTTAGAATCAAACGTGACTTTCCCCCATGAGGCAGAATCGGCTCCTCCTAGTCTAAACCCCCAGGAGGAGGTGGGGGTGATGTTCCTAGACACCCCGAGAACCTGTGTCCTCGCTGGAGAGGGGTGGCTGGATTGGAAACGCCTCTCTCCTGGCTCACCCCCTCGTCTGCGCCCCCAGGACGAGTCGAAGCCGCCGTACTCCTACGCTCAGCTCATCGTGCAGGCCATCTCGTCCGCGCAGGACCGGCAGCTGACCCTGAGCGGCATCTACGCACACATCACCAAGCATTACCCTTACTACCGCACGGCCGACAAGGGCTGGCAGGTGAGCCCCTTCCCGCTCCCCGGGGCCGTGCACTGCGAGCCCCCCCCCCCCATCCCGGAGTCCACACCGGCCCTCCTGGGAGCCCACAGACAGGAAGGTGTCCGCAGGCTCAGGGCACGGGGCGCTCCTGTGCGGCCTTGCAGGCACGCCTCCCCGCTCTCCACAGACCCTTTCTGGTTTAGGTTCATGGGACCTTCGTCAGCGTGCTGGTTGGCTCAGCACGTGTTCTGAGCCTGGCGTCCCCCGGACTAGAGCTTGTCCTAAATGCTTTGGCTTTTCTGTAGGGGCTGCTCGTGAGTCCGTGCCGAATTTTCACAGGCACGACCGTTGTGACACCTCTGTGCTTGGGGCCCCTCCAGCCCTGACCCCAAGCTCGGGTGGCCGGGCCCCCGCGCGGGTCAGACCCACACCCGCCGTGACCGGTGACTCCCCGCTCTGCCCACAGAACTCCATCCGCCACAACCTCTCCCTGAACCGCTACTTCATCAAGGTCCCCCGCTCCCAGGAGGAGCCGGGGAAGGGGTCCTTCTGGCGGATAGACCCTGCCTCGGAGACCAAGCTGGTGGAGCAGGCGTTCCGGAAACGGAGGCAGCGGGGCGTCTCCTGCTTCCGCACCCCCTTCGGGCCGCTGTCGTCCAGGTGAGCCCCCGCGGCTGCGGCCGTGAAGTGAAGCCGCTTCACCGTTTCTCGGAGAGACCAGCTCGGCCCGAGAGGCGGGGAGAGGGTGCCGGCCGGACCCCCACGATGACCGCTGCTCTCCGGTGTCAGTTAGTCCCGGGGGCGGCTCCCAGCAAGGCTGCTGCTCTTAACGCAGAAGCACAAGCCGCTCTCCTGGGGGCTTGGCCGGCCCGGTCGGAGGTGAACGCGCTGGCCATGGCCATCGCGGGGTGGTGGTTTGTGCGGCGGGCGGCCAGCTGTGGCTACGGGAGCGTCAGGGTCGGGCAGCACTCAGGCGCGCTCACTGCCGCAGTCCTGTCTCCCCGTCTCCTAGGAGCGCCCCAGCTTCACCCACCCACCCCGGGCTGATGTCCCCACGTTCCAGTGGCCTGCAGACTCCAGAGTGCCTGTCCCGGGAGGGCTCGCCCATTCCACACGACCCTGACTTTGGGGCCAAGTTAGCTTCTGTTCCCGAGTACCGCTATTCTCAAAGCGCACCCGGTAAGCCCGGCCTCGCCCTCTTGTCTGATGTCCCAGGACTCAGAGCCGCGAGCCCCCCAGCAGGGCGCGTGCAGGGCCCCGCTGACCCAGCCCCTCCTCTGCAGGCTCTCCAGTCAGCGCCCAGCCGGTGATCATGGCCGTGCCGCCCCGGCCGCCCAGCTTGGTGGCCAAGCCCGTCGCCTACATGCCGGCGTCCATCGTGACGGCCCAGCAGCCCTCGGGCCACGCCATCCATGTGGTGCAGCAGGCGCCCCCGGTCACCATGCTCAGGGTGGTCACCACCTCCGCCAACTCCGCCAACGGATACATTCTCGCCAGCCAGGCCGCGGCGGGGGGCGCCCACGAGGCGGCGGGCACAGCTGTGCTGGACCTGGGCGGTGAGGCGAGAGGTGAGCTGCCCGTACGGTCACCTTGGTGGGGTCGCATCTGGGTCTCGTGGGTCTTCAGAAGGTGGAGTCATCAGCCTGGGCCGCGGGGCTCAGGCCATCTCGGGCAGGGTGTCTCTGTGGGGCCGCCTCTTGTTCCTTCCCCTGTTTTCCCGGGAGGAACGTTCCTATGAAGCAGCGCTGATCATCTTTTGAAATGCCACTCCCCGCAAGCAGCATCTGGGGCGCTGGGCACCCCTGGACTAGGTGTGGGGCCTCAGACTGGAGCCCCCCAGTGAGGGCTCCTTAGATGTCCTTCAGAGTGATAGTCACGGAGTCCTGAGTTAGAAGTCAGGGTCCCAGGGGATTAACGCAGTGACTGTTGGGAACACGAGCAGTGCTGTCAGAGGCCCTGGAGCCAACACTAAATCAAGCAGTGTCTTGGGGACGGCGGGCGGCTCATCCCAGCAGTGACGTCCCTCCTGATCCTGCCTTAATGATGACATTTTGGTGAGAGAAAGCTAGGTTATAGCTACAGGTGCAAGTCGTTTCATTCCAAACAATACGCTTGCTTTCTCAGATTAAACTTGCTTTGGTCAAAGTATACAGTATTTCAATTTCTACCTGGAATCCTATGGCTTGTATTTCTCTTGTTTTATAACATTCCATCAGTGGGGGTTTCCTGCTGAGAACCCAGGTCTTTGCCCAGTGTCCTGGCTTTGGGACCTTGGCCCCCCATCCCCTGGGGCACCCCCTCAGGGCCGTGACCGTGGCTCTGATGCGCGCCACCCCCACAGGCCTGGAAGAGAAGCCAACCATTGCACTCGCCACCATCCCCGCCGCCAGCCGGGTGATCCAGACGGTGGCCAGCCAGATGGCCCCGGGGGTCCCGGGACACACGGTCGCCATCCTGCAGCCAGCCACGCCAGTGACCCTGGGGCAGCACCACCTCCCGATCCGCGCCGTCACTCAGAACGGCAAGCACGCCGTCCCCACCAGCAGCCTTGCCAGCAATGCTTACGGTGAGGCCCCGCCTGGGGCAGCCCCCTCTCTGCCCCCCTCGGCCCTGAGCGCCAGCCTGGCCAGGGTCAGTGCAGCAAGCGTGTCCCCCCAGTTCCTCCGGCCAGTGTCCTGAGCACTCACTCTGGGTCCGGGCTGGGATTTGAAGCCAAGGCAGCCCCGAGGGAGCACCGTGCCGGAGCAGAGTCGGAGGGACGGGAAGGCGCTCAGTGCTGTGCAGGGGGCGGGGGCACTCCGAGGCGCAGGGCCCGACTCGCTGGGGTGATGTGGGAGCTGTCAGGGTGTCCAGAGGGATCCTGGCCCGGAAGCAACCGAAGCACCGTGCCGGAGCAGAGTCCGAGGAACGGGAAGGCGCTCCGAGGCGCAGGGCCCGACCCACTGGGGTGATGTGGGAGCCGTCACCGTGTCCAGAGGGATCCTGGCACGGAAGCAGCCGAAAGAGCGGGGACAGGGTTGGAGGCCCCGCGTGGTGGGGGCAGGGAGGGGCTCTCCCCGGGAGCTGCCTGCCGGCCATGCCGGAGGCGCCAGGCGTGCGGGGAGCGGCCGCACGCCTCTCCCTGCCCGCCCAGCTCCGCAGCGTGACTCTCTCTCTCTCTCCACCCCAGCCCTCACCAGCCCTCTGCAGCTCCTCGCGGCCCAGGCCAGCTCGTCCACGCCGGTGGTGGTCACGCGCGTGTGCGAGGTGGGGCCCGAGGAGCCGGCGGCCACCAGCACGGCGCCCCCCACTGCCGCCGCCGCCTCGCCCACCGGGGAGCCCGAGGTCAAGAGGTCCCGAGTGGAGGAGCCCGTGGGGACTGTGACTGCACAGGCTGGCGTGATGGCAGCTGCCGGCGCGCAGGGCCCCGGGACCGGGGAGTGACATCGCTGCGTGGAGGTGGAGTGGGACACATGCCAGACGGAGCTCCGGGGCGGAGCGGGGCAGCTGACCCCGCCGCCCCTGGGACTGAGAGGGGCCGAGCTCGGGCGGGCAGGATGCCTCCATCCACCCGCACCCAGACACTCGTCCTCCTGCACCTCTCTCCTGCCCCTGCTCTGGTTTCAAACAAAAACACATAAACGCGTTCAGACAGCTGATTGTACGATTCTGGAATTCTTTGTCTTCGTTTCCTTCTCCCCCCCCAGCACCACCTTTTCTTCCCAAGCCTTTCACCAAGGGCGTGGGGAGAAGGTCGCAGCCCAGCGTCTCCGGGAACGTGTCCAGGCGGCCCGGCCCCACACAGAAGCCAGGCTCCCGGAGCGGCCTTCACCCCCAGACGGGACAGAAGCACAGGCCGGGGGCGCCAGCCCTGCCTGTAAGCGACTAGACCCGGGCGAGAGAGACGCAGAGCCGCCAGCTGTCAGACTGTCCCTGTCACTGCTGCTTCTAAAGTGACACCGAAAGTGTCAGCATTAACTGGACGGAGGGGACGCGTCCGGTCTGGCTTTGGGCCCCATGTGATTCCGCAGTGTTGAAAGGCGGAATTGAGGCTTCACCAACAGCCTGAGACAGACGCAGAAGGGATCGCCCGTTCCTGCGGTTTCCACCCGTAGACGGTTCAACAGCTGGGAAGGTGTGGGTCTTCCCGGCATCGGTCCCCATCCCCACAGAGAGTGAACTCTTGCCGCTCCGTCTGCTAACTTCAAGGAAGACCGACGGCCTCCCGGACTGGAGCTCAAGGCAGGGAGCTGTTGGGATGAGAGGTCTGCCTGCAGTGCCTGCCCTCGTCCCGGCCACACCAGCTTGCTGGGGGCAGAAGGAGGTGGCCACCCCCACGGGAGGACAGTCATGCCAAGTGGCCCCGTTTCCCGGTGGCTCTGACGTCCGGGGGCCCCGCGGCTGCCCACCCAGCCTCCTCAGCAGCTGCCAGGGTCTCTACCCGACAGCCTGCCTGCCGTTACTGACCAGAACCGGCTCTGCCACCCCGGCGTTCTCTGTGGCTTCCTGTCTGGGGTGAGTGCGGAGCATGAGAGTCAGCGGATCGAGACAGGCCTCCGGCATCGCCGGGCTGGCCCCGCAGGTCCTGGGCAGGGCTGGGGGGGGGTCGTCTCTTTCTCTTCCGTCACTGCTGAGCCCTGGGCCTGCTCGCTCACAGACTGTCCTCTGCGCCACAGCTCGCCTCCCCCGGAGACAGACGCCAGGCCGGCCGGCGGAGGACACGCCCAGCTCCGGCCCCTCCGCCTGGCCCGACCCGTCTGGCCCTATGCTCTGTTCCCCTGACGGCGAGGCTTTTTGCTTCTGTGTGTTGCCTTTGACACCCTCACTCTCTCATCCTGGCGGTGGTTCAGGGAGAAAGGAGTGGCGGGGGGAGGTGTGCGTGGCTGGAACTGGGAGGGAGTCCCGACGGGGTGTCCTCAGGGACATTCTGCCACGTGGCGAGCATGTGCCTTTCTAGCTCCTTCTGGGCAGAAGGGACCCTGTGGGGCCAGGTCCAGGGGACCAGCCACTCCAGGTTCCTGGTGAGCGTCTGGGTGAGCTCTTGGTCATCTCCCCAGATGGCCCGTGGCACCCGCCAGCACTTGTTCTGAGACCAGGAGGTCAGGAGTGGGCAGCTCCCCAGGGAAGATGCTGCTGTCGCTGGAAAGGTCCCGGGTCTCCGCAGAGTCCCCCAGGCCGTGGGTCCACACCCGCCCCCATCACACGTGTCTGCAGGAGCCAGAGCGGCCAGGAGATCCGGCAGCTGTGGCCTTCCACACACCTGGGTTGTGGCACGTTGGACCGACCCACCCGAGGCTGGAAAGTCCACCTGGCCTGACACTGAGGCCGTGGCCGCCTCGGGCCACACAGGGGCTGGACTCTGCAGAGGGTCGGCTGGGTGGGCGGCTCGGGCCCTGTCATCACAGCAGCTCACTCTCCATCCGGGTACCAGGCCTGCCTGTCCGGCTGCGCTCCACGAGTCATCACCTTTACCAGCGCCAGACATGGGAGGGCACCGCCCTGCACGGCGGGGAGTCCCAGAAATCCTGCCCTTACCCCGCTGAGCGCCCTCCCCTCCGGCCAGTGTCACCGGCTCACGGGCCCGGGGTGGACACTGAGTGTCCCTGCTCCGCCACCTGCACCTCTGCGCGAAGCTCCGGGTCGCCTGGCACTGTCGAGTGCGGAGCCCGTGGCCCGGGTTCAAACCATCTGTCCTCCCCCCAACCCCGACCCCGGGATCCCTCATGAGGTCGGAGTCGCACTAGGGGGCCCACCCGGGCCGGACGCCGTCACTTCCTCCTCCCTCGCTGCAGGGGGCCCGCAGTCTCTCTCTGCCGCCTGGGTGGCTCACGTTGGCAGTGTGCTGTTTGTGAGAGGTGGTTTTTTCTACTTCAGAATTAAGCCAGATGGAGAAGGTGCAAAGTGGACGTCTGAGCTGCTAATCAACATGCACTGGTGATTCTCAGGCGGGAGGAGGTGGGCTTGGTGGGGCCGCCAGGCTGCTGGCTGCTTACCCAGACCCGCTGGGCCTGGAGGGAGATTGGTTTAGGTCACAGCAGGCCTTGTTCAGCTGGCGCTCTCACTTCCCCTAAGGAAAGGTCTGCGTGGACCGGTCAGAGTGAGCCGCCCGGCTCACGGGGCGCGTCCCGAGGTCTCTAGACAGAAACTCCTTCACTGGCCCCTTGAAATTCAGGAGGAGAAAGAATTTTTTGGCTTTTTTTCTTTGGTCAGTTTCTTTCTTTTTGGAGGCAAAGACAAGACCGAACTTGAGTGCCTGTTAGAGAAGAGGGTCCTTTGTGCGAATCCTTTAGGGGTTAGACTGAGGGGCAGTTGAGGTGGAGAAGGAGCTGTCTTCTTCCCAAGCCCCAGGTTCTGCTTTGCCCCGAGATGGCTTTATCTGGGTTGGGGACAGCCGTGCCCCCGGGAACTGGCTTCAGGCGCTATCAAGCTCACGGCTGCCCCCCATGGCTTCAGTGCCAGCTAAGCAGCGCGCTGCCTGTTCTAGAATAAGTTACCAAGAATGATGGTGAGGCGCTGCAAGTAGGAATGGATGGAGCTGCTAGACAGGCCCGGGGGGGGGGGGGGGGGGCGGGTGCCAGTGGGAGCCTCACCCTTGCGGCCAGCTGCTGGAGGCTGCCCTCGGGGATACCTCTGCCCAGAAGCGAGGTGACTTACCACGCATCATTTATGTCATTCACACGTGCTGCTACGAGGCGGGGATGGACCCCAGAAGGAGGGGGGCTCTCTGGGGGGTGCGGGTAGGAGCAGTGGCTTCTGTCCATGGTCCTCAGGCTGCTCTCACGCGTTTCATGAACTCCTCTCATCTCACTCGTCCCCTCCTCCAGGCCTGATTGCATGTGTGGACCCGCCCTTCCTGCTGGGGCCCCAACCTCTTGCCTTTTCTCTCACCCCCAGAAGCTGCTCCCCCCTGGGTCCGAGGGCCAGTCTGGGCCATCCGTCACCACGCAGCCCCTGGGGTGGCCTCATCCGACTGTGAGGGGCCCACCTGGAGTCACAGCCGCCCTTCAGCATGCTGTGTTTGACACACACCACGAGCGTCTGCTCTGAATGGAAATAGAAAGTGGGCCCGTTGGCTGAGTGTGTTCAGGGAAAGTAGTTTTGCTCTTCTGCTGAGAACGGTCACTTGCCGCCCCCTCAGCACCGCCAGGCTATCCGGGCGTCCCTGTGGAAAGCCTGTACGCTGCGCTCAGGCTGAGGCTCTGCTCTGCCCCCACCCACGGGGTCATCCCCTCCTGCCCTCACCCCCAGGGATATAGGAGACTCAGCAGAGGAGAGAGGTTGGAAGGATTCGTGTCTCTGGGTTTGACAAGACCCCCGCTCTGTCCCCATCATATCGGAGTGAATGTCCCAGCAGCCGCCGTGAGGTCTGATTGTCTGCAAAACTTGCCCTGCCCTGGCCCCCAGCTGCAGGCCTGGCCCCGCCCCCAGCTGCAGGCCTGGCCCCGCCCCCAGCTGCAGGCCTGGCCCCGCCCCCAGCTGCAGGCCTGGTCCCGCCCAGTGACCCCGCCCACCGCCGGGTGACTGGAGGCCTCCTGCAGGCTCAGCGCTGACCAGGAGGGACGTCTGTGCTCCTGGCTTCACGCGGCCCTGAGCTGGAGATCTCACGTAGGCGAGCCTCGGGGTGTGCAGCGTCTTTTCCTCTCCCTCTCAGTATTCTAGGGAAGACTGAGGGCTGCAGGCTTTGATTTTAGGCATCTTTCTTTTTCTCCAGGGAGGAACCTCGCTCAGAGGATTTCATTCATTCCTTGGACCTGCTTGTCACGCGGGAAGCAACTGGGTTCAGGTCCTGAGAAGACAAATTCAGGAGGGGGAGGCGGGCAGCAGCAGCAGACAGGCTTCTCTACTTTGGTTAATGGGCTGAACACTGGCTGCATGGGACCCCTCGCCCCCGCCCCCAGCCCCGACGAGCCGGGGGTCTTCAGGTTACACCCTCCATCACTCTTTTGCTTCCAAGGGAGACAAGAGGTCTTCAAGCTACTCTCACTCTCTTGCCCCAGATAACTCTCTTGCGTTATCTTAAGAGTCAAAATAGAATTGGAAGAATTCGAGGTCATTATTCTTTGTTTGAGATCCTTTTTCTGCAATCGGTGGCTCATTGGACTCATCCAAATATTTATTGGTGGTTCACTCTGCATGAGAAACAGTAAAAAGTGCAGGGGAGTCCAGACCCAAGAGGGATGTGGCTGTTTAGCACTGTGACCCCCCTGGGCTAACATCTTGGTGGTCCCACTCACTAAAGATTCCATGCTGCTTATGTGAAGGTTTGTCTTAGTTGCTGGTGGCTCAGCTGGTAAAGAATCCGCCTGCAATGCAGGAGACCTGGGTTCGATCCCTGGGTTGGGAAGGTCCCCTGGAGAAGGGAAAGGCTACCCACTCCAGTATTCTGGCCTGGAGACGTCCATGGACTGTATAGTCCATGGGGTAACAAAGTTGGACACGACTGAGCAACTTTCACTCACTCACTTACTTTCTTAGCTGCAGTGATAAGACTGGCCCCTCTCAAGCTGTTGCCGTGACCCCCAAGGAATGCTGTGAGCTGTCGTCAGATTCTGAGCATATTGGCTGAGCTGGAATGAGGCCTGTGAACCTGAAATGGATTTCTTGTGCATGAAGTTAACTGGCCAAAAGGCTATGGAACTACGCCTGTGGCTTCTTAAGATCTTAGCCTCTAAATTTCTGACTTAAGTTGGCCAAAAATAGTTTTAGTAAGTAAAAATAGGATTTAAAAATCAAACATTCTTAAGTCTGGCCTCTCCCAGCTTCCTTCCAGGATGGGCTTTCTGGGTACCTGGTCAAGGGGGACTGACCCTGTTTCGTTTCTTCTTTAGGACAGGGACAGGGAGGAGAGACGAAAGTGTGTCCTTGATTCTTGCTTATATTCAGACCCAGATCCTGGGCAGCTTGGCGCACGTGGGCAAGGGATAAACCCAGCACAGATTTTTTTTCTTACCTGACAATTAGCCTGTAAAGATCCTTTAGCGGGGGCGGGTATTGTTAGGGGGCGTGCCTGTGTGCTTTTTTTTTTTCATGGTGGCCGTCTAAAGTTTTTTCCACAATACGTTTAATCATCAGTGCTTTAAAAAAGTGGCAGTATCCTGTAGAGTGGGACTTAGGCTCCGTGGTGTGTTGGGTGGGAGGCTGAAGTCACGTCGCGTGGCCGTGTTTCACCATCTGCATGTGGGTTCTGGCCTCTGGGGCACCCAGCAGGGACACACACCCCGACACCTGGGCGGGGGGGGGGGGGGGGGGAGGGGGAGGGGGTGCAAGTAGGCGGGGCTCACCTCAGCTAGGCCGGCCTGCATTTTCATTTCAAATGGGATACAGTATTTTTTTTTTAATAAGGAGCCATACTTTTTTTTTAAAAATGTTTGAGATCTGAATGTGATTTCTAATTGTACCAGACGTTAATGTTTTAAAACTATAACAAAGTTTTAAAATTTCTACCTTTTTTTTTTTTCATTTAACTGTTCTTTTATCTATTAAATTGTTGTATGTGGACGGGGAAGTTTTGTCTCTCCTCTTAGCATTTGTTTCTATAACCAGAAATAAAATTATATATTAAAGAAACAACATCAGGCTCCGCGTGGTCTTGTGAGCACTGCTGAGGGACAGACGGACAGATAGGCAGGTGCCCTGGACACTCAGCTCCCCTCTCAGCTGTGGGGAGTCGCCACCTGCTCTTTCACTGTTCAGTCGCTCTGTTGTGTCCAACTCTTTGCAACCCCACGGGCTGCAGCACCCCACGCTTCCCTGTCCATCACCAACTCCCGGAGCTTGGTCACACTCATGTCCATCGAGTCGGTGATGCCATCCAACCATCTTATCCTCTGTTCCCCCCTTCTCCTTGTTCCTTCCATCTTTCTGAGCATCAGGGTCTTTCCCAACAAGTAGATGCTTTCTCGTGGTGCTGCCAGATTGACAGATCACCAGAAGGGGGTGCTCAGGCGTCAGCGCTGCAGGCCGCCTCTGACCAGGGTCTGATGAAGGTCCGTCACTGATCCGTCCAGTGTTCGTGACTCACGTGCCTTTCAGATCGCGCAGTGGCCTGCGATGCTAACTGAGCTTTCAGCACCTCTCCTCCTCCTTCTGGAACTCCACCACCGTTCCAGAGGGAGGATCAGTGAAGCCTTAATGCCACAGTAACAGGTTAATCACAGGTTGGGAGTTCAGCCATATAGCAAGCAAGAGCGAGAGTGGCAAGTTTGGGGAGCTACATTGGCTAATTAGCATCTTTTTTTAACTGTTGAGGCCTTAAAAGGTTTGTTTTCAATGAAGACCTTAAAATAGCATTTTACACAAATGCAACGTTTTCGTAAGAAACAGTCAAATATCACCCTTGGTAATTCAGTTGGATGTGTGTGGGGAGAGAGGATACAGTTCCCAGTGAAAGCTAAGCTCCCCTGTGACCCTGGGTGTGGACCAACAAGAAGTGAGTGCACATCCGTCCCAGTGCAGTCAGCCCTGGACTCGAGCCGTGCGCGTGGCTGAGGGAACCAGCAGACTCCCACCAGAACCACCTTCTGCTAGCTGCAGACCCAGCCTGCCGTGCTGTCTCGTGGTTCCGGGGCTGGGCTTCTGCCAGCCCACCCCTGCTGTGCCAGCTCCCCGACGTCGGGCAGCCTGATGCAGGGTGTGTGAGGTGGGGGGCGTGCCTGGAAGGCTTTCTTCAGCTCCAGCAGGCATCCTGACGACAGCAGCGGACAGCACCTGGTGGTCCCAGCCTGCGGGCCTCCTCCCGGGTCAGCATCAGCCCCGCCGGATCCCTCGGCCACGTCCCGGACTGCGACCCTTCCACCCTCTTCCCTTCCCTCCAGCATTAGGAGCAACTGCTCCCCCTCCTCCCTCTCCGTTCCTCCACACCTTGCTGCAGTTCCTTGTCGAATCTTCTGATGAAATGACTTGCCTTCCATCTCCAGACCAGCCGCAGATGGATGCCAGGTGCCCCAAGTCTGGCTGACCTCGCTCAGCCTCCCCGCGGCACTTGGAACTCAACCCTGCATCCTGCAGCCTCTGGGACCCCGTGTGTCCCTGGCTGTCCTCCCGCTTCGCCAGCCGCTCCTCATCAGGCAACGGGCAGAGTGGCTCCGAGCTGACCGGGAGTCCGGAGGCCAGTTCGGATCCCTCCTCTTCCTACAGGTATGACCTTGGGCGCTGAGGCTGTTCTTTAGCGTCAGCCACCTCCTTCAGTAACAGCCCTCCTCGTAAGAGGCCAGACGGCTGCTGTGCCGTACGTGGCAGGCTTTCAGAGAGACAGCCTGTGACCAGGCTCCCTTCCCCAGTTCCCTTCCTGATGAGCGCTGAGCCGTCCCCTTTTTCCCCCATCCAGGGTCTTCCCCACTACTCACCCTTCCAAGGCCTCGCTGACGTGCCCTATCCAAAGACACCCAACCTTACCCTCTCATCTCCTCCCTTCATCATCCCTCCAGGGCTTCTGTCACCACTGAGCTGCACATGGTTACGTATTTGATAGCCATGTTTCTGGCTGTAAATTCCGTGAGGACAGGGCCTAGTAGCCTCCCCTGTTTCCCAGAACTTAAAACGCTGCCAAGCACAGTGCAGGGACACCAGCATTGCTTGTCCCATGAATGAATGACTCCACAATCCTCTTCATCCTCTCCTGCCCCATGGCCGAGGGAACGGCACCACCCTAAAAGGAGAAAGCTATTGGTGCCCTGGGTTTTTCCCTGTTCCTCCTCGGGTGGCCCTTACCTAGCTCAGGAAGCCTCCCTTCTTCCCTCCCTCCTCTGGATCAGCCCCTTCTACACACCCATGCACGCACATGTGCGCGCGCACGCGCGCACACACACACACACACATGCACTCTGGACCAGCCCTTTCTACACACACACCACCCCCCCCACCCCCCCCCACCCCCCCCCCACCCCCCCCCCCCCCCCCGCAACCTCCCAGTCCATTCTCTCCTGCCAGACAGCAGGCTGCGCTCAGGAGTATATAAGCCCCCGGAAGCAGGCCTTCATGCTGCCTTCAGGACCTTCCCTCTGCCTTCCCCTCCCACCCCTTGGCCTGACACCCTCGGGGCTCATCTGAGGCACCCGGCCCTCACAGTGCACTCCTGGTTCGGCTCTGACAGCATTTATCACGCTGGACTGTCACTGCGCAGAGGACCTGCCCTGTGTCCCCACGAGGTCTGCAGGGTGGAAATACTGTGGCCAGCACACCTTTCAGAATTTACTAGAATTTGACCTTCCGTCTCTGAGCCTGTTGTTCTTATCTGTAAAACGAGATACCCAGAAACTGTGATTATGGTGGGGGTTAAGTTGTTTTTTTCTTAAGCGGCAGGTACAACCTACATTAGATGTAAAAATGAAATGGGAATTTTAGAAAGGAACTTCTAAGAGCTGCTTGCAAACTTCTGGACACGGACCCAGCCCACGGCCGCGGTGTGTGCAGCAGTTTCAGCCGCGCTGCACACAAGACCTGCCGGCGACGGAGCGGACGGCGTTTGTGGGACAGAACCCGGAACGGGGGCGCTGGGCTGAGGCTCCTAACGGCGCCGGAGCCGCGCAGGGGCTCCAAGCGACATGGCTCCGGGGACCGCGGTCCCGGCACCCGCCGTGTAAAGCGCCGGAAGGCCGTGCAGGGCCCCCCGCGCACAGTCCCGCCCCCTCCCCGGGCGGAGGCGCCGTGTCGAAGCCTATTGGTCGGGGGCGTGCGCCGAGCCCACGTGAGGCGGCACGCTGCGCGGCCCGGAAGCCGGCGTCGCTGCGGGCCCGGCGTCGCTGCGGGCCCTGCTCCGCGAGTCGCCCGCGGCAGGAGCGCGCGGTCCGCTGTCAGGGCCGCGGCGGCGGCGGCGGGATGTTGGCGACGGGGACGGAGAGTCTGCTCCGCCAGGCCAGGTGAGCACGCTTTACCTCTCGTGCGCGTGGCGGTGGGTCTCAGCGCGGGGCCTCGGAGGAGGCCGGGCCCGGCGTGAGGAGGTCCGGGAAGGTCTAGCTAGCCCCCGGGGGAGGCGCTCTGAGGGAAGAGCTGAAAGCGAGCGGGCTTGGGGCCCCGCGCTGGGTGGGCCGGAGGCTCGGCGGCCGCGGCTCCCGCGTCTGGTAGGAGCGGGCTCCGGAGCGCTCGGCGGCGTCAGGGCCGGGAAAGCCACAGAGGCGCCGGGGAGCCTGCTGGACGGAGCCGTGGCGGGCTCTGTGAGAGGTTCGCGAGTCCGCTGCCTTCCGAGGGCTTCGGGGAGCCGCGGGGCGGTTAGTGACTTAGAAAGGTAGACTCTCGCGGGGGCGCTGGGCGTGTTGAGCGGATGCTCCTCCGGCCTCTGGACGCCCACTGACTAGTCGGTAGCCCTCTCCTCACCGACTGGCCACTCACGGGGGAAAACCGATGTAGACTCGGAATCAGACCCCGCAGTCCGTCCGTGTAAGACTCGATGCTACTCGAGGAGAAGCAAAGGCGGCCAGAACCATGGTTTAAAGGAAAAACTACCTGGATTCGGAGCTAGACCAGTTGGTGGAAAAAATTAGGCTGGTTGAGGCTCCTGTGATCTTAGGGAAGCAAGATCTTTAATGTGTATTAGGTTATAAAGGCTGTGAATGGGACAGAAGTTTGCTGTAGTCAAAACAACCCTTGAAAATCTGTTAGGCTAGTGTTTCTCCCATTGAGTCCAAAAACATCTATATTTCCTTCAATATTGGACGTATATTCCAATACTCAAGTTCCACTATTCCAATTCAGGCTCGTTTGAATTTAGGAGCTGTATTAAGGGAAGATCGCTTTTTCCAAAAGTCGAAGTATAGTTGATTTACCGCATCAGTCTCGGGGTACAATGTAGTGCTTCGGTATTTTAATAGATTATGTTCTATTCAAAGTTGTTATAAAATATTGAAAACATTCCCTGTGCTGTACTATGTATCTATATCTTGTTTAATACATGGTTTGTACCTCTCAACCCCTTCCCCTCCCCAATTCCCAGTCTCCACTGATAACTTACTGTGTGCTCTGTAAGTCTGTTTTGTTGTATTCATTAATTCCATTTTTTGTATTCTGCATATAATGATAATCAGTATTTGTCTTTCTCTGACTTATTTCGCTGTGCATAATGCTCTCTAGTTTCTTCCATGCTGTTGCGCATGGCGGAATTTCATTCTTTATGGCCGAGTAATATTCCATTGTGCATATACACATCACATCTTCTTTATCCAGTCATCTGTTGATGGATATTTAGATTGCTTCCATGTCTTTGCTGTTGTAAGCAGGGCTGCTGTGAACATTGGGGTGCATGTACCTTTTCAAATTAGAGTTTTTGTTTTCTTTGGATATATACCCAGGAATGTAGTTCAGTTTTTAGTTTTTTGAGGGACCGCTACAGTTTTCCAGTGACTGCACCAATTTACATTCCCGCCAACAGTGAACTGCTGCTGCTGCTAAGTCGTGTCTGACTCTGTGTGACCCCAGAGACAGAAGCCCACCAGGCTCCTCCATCCCTGGGATTCTCCAGGCAAGAACACTGGAGTGGGTTGCCATTTCCTTCTCCAATGCATGAAAGTGAAGTAAAAGGGAAGTCGCTCAGTCGTGTCCGACTCTTAGTGACCCTATGGACTGCAGTCTACCAGGCTCCTCCATCCATGAGATTTTCCAGGCAAGAGTACTGGAGTGGGGTGCCATTGCCTTCTCCGAACAGTGAACTAGGGTTTTCTTTTCTCCACTTACTCACCAGTATTTGTTATTGTGATCTTCTTGTTGATAGCCATTCTGACAGGTGTGAGGTGTTAACCTCGTTGTGGTTTTGATTTGTTTCTCTCAGTTGAGCATCTTTCTATCTGCCCATTCGCCGTCTGTGTGTCATCTTAGGGGGAATGTCTATTCAGGTGTTATGCCCATTTTTTAATTGTTTTTTTCATATTGAGTTGAGTGAATTGTTTATTTTGGATAGTAAACCCTTGTTAGTCATATCACTTGCAAATATGTTCTCCCATTAAGTTGGTTTCCTTTGCTGTGCAAAAGCTTTAAAGTGTAATAATTAGGCCCCATTTGCTTGTTTTTGCTTTTGCTTCCTTTGCCTTAGGAGACAGAGCCAAAAAAACCTTGTCACTATTCTGTCACAGAGTGTTCTGTCTTCTAGTTTTATGGTTTCTGATCTTAGGTTATTTAATCCATTTTGTTTATTTTTGTATATGGTGCAAGAAAATGTTCCAGTTTCTTTCCTTTATAGGTAACTGTCCAGTTTTACCAAGCACCACTAATTGAAGAGACTGTCTTTTCTTCATTGTGTATTTTTGCCTCCTTTGTCACAGGTTAATTGGCCGTGAGTGTGGTTTTATTTCTGGGCGCTCTATTCTGTTTCATTGGGGGCTGTGTGTGTTGGTGCCAGGACCATAATGTGTACGTAGTGACCACTGTAGCTTTGTGGTTGTTTAGTCTGAAATCAGAGAGCCTCATACCTCTCTCCAGCTTTGATTTTTTATTAAGGTTGCTTTGCCTATTCACGTTTCAGAATCATTCTAGTTCTGTGAAAAAACTATGGGTATTTTGATAGAGATTACATTAAATCTGTAGATTGCTTTGGGTAGTATGGAGATATTAGCAGTTTTAATTCTTCAACTCCTGTACATGAGATATCTTTTCATTTCTTTGTGTCATCTTCAATTTCCTCTATCAGCGTTTTATAGTTTTCAGAGTATAGGTCTTTCACCTCTTTTGTTGTTTATTCCTAGGTATTTTATTATTTTTCACATGATTTTAACAGGATTATTTTCTTCCTTTTTCTGATAGCTCTTTACTAGTGGATAGGAAAGCAACAGGTTTCTGAATATTAATCTTGTATCCTGGCAACTTAACTGAAGTTATTTTATTAGTTGTAATAGTTTTTGGTGGAAATTTTAGTTTTCTATATATATGGTATCATGTCATCTGCAAATAGTGAGTTTTACTTCCCTCCCAAGTTTTATGCCTTTTATTTATTCTCCTAGTTTGACTGCTGTGGCTAGGACTTCCTACTTACTGAAGTGCTCCTACAAAACACTACACTGTGTTAAATAGAAATGGTGAGAATGGGTATCCTTATATATGTTCCTGATACTGGAAGAAAAGTATTTTCAGCTTTTCAGTGTTGAGGTAGCTGTGGGTTTGTCATAAATGACCTTTATTATGTTCCCTTGATACCAACTTTGATGAGACTTTTTGTCATGAATGAATGTTGTATTTTGTCCAGTGCTTTTTTTTTGCGTCTATTGAGACAGTCACGTGAATTTTATCCTTCCATTTGTTAATGTGGTGTATTACACCGATTGATTTGAAGATGTTGAAGCATCCTTGTGACCCTGGAATAAACATAAATCTAACTTGACCATGGTGTAGGGTTTTGTTTTTTTTTTGCCGTACTTCATGGCTTGTGGGATCTTAATTCCCCGACAGGGATTGAACCTTCACCCTCAGCAGAAAAATCGCAGGGTTCTAATCACTTGACACCCAGAGAATCCCCATGATCTTCTTCTATTGTTGAATTTTGTTTGCTAATGTTCTTTTGAGGATTTTCAAATCTATTTTCATCATAGATACTGACCTGTAATTTTTTGTTGTTGTTTGTTTGTAGTGTCTGCCTGATTTTGGTATCAAGGTAATCGTGGCCTCATAGAAAGAATTGGAGAGTGTTCCCTCCTCTTCAGTTTTTTGGGATAGTTTGAGGATAGGTATTATCTCTCTATATGTTTGGTAGAATTCCCTCATGAAGCTCTTTGGTCCCGGACTTTTGTTTGCTGGAAGTTTTATTACTAATTTCATTTCACTGCTAGTGACAGGTCTGTTCAGATTGTCTGTTTCTTCCTGATTCAGTCTTGGAAATTGTATATTTCTAGAAATGTATCCATTTCTTCTACGTCATCACATTTGTCTGCCTGTAAGTATTGGTAGTATTCTCTGTGGAGTTTCTTGGTATCTCACTTCACAATTTCTCCTCTTTCATATCTTGTTTTATTTGGGTCCTCTCTCTCTTTTTATTGATTACCCTGACCTAAAGGCTTATCAATTTTGTCTTTTAAAATCTGGTTTATTGTTCCAGTCTCTGTTTCTTGTCTGATCTTTATCATTTCCTTCCATCTGCTGACTTTGGACTTTGTCTCTTCTGTTTAGATGGTAGGTAGGTAGGTTGTTTGAGACTTTCCTTTCTTGAGATATGCCTGGATTGCTGTAAACTTCCCTCTTAGAATTGCTTTTGCTGCATCCCATAGATTTGGGGATGTGCTGTTTTCCTCTTGAGGTATTTTTTATTTGCTCTTCCGTTTCTCTGTTGCTTATTTTAGTAGCATGTTTAGTAGCCTGTAGAGACTCTACATGTTTGTGTTTTTCCCCTTTTTTTCTTTCTGTAATTCATTTCTAGTTTCATGCTGTTGTGGTCAGAAATGATACTGGTTATCATTTCTGTCCTCTTAAATTTGTTGAGGCTCATTTAATAATCTGATATGTGATCTATCCTGGGAACATCCTGTGTGGATTTTAAAAGAATGCGTATTCAGCTGGTTTTGGGTGAAGAATCCTATAGATCAAGCCCACCTCGTTTACTTGTGTCATTTAAGACTGCTGCTTCCTTATTGATTTTTATGTCTGAGTAATAAGTCTATTGATACAATTGCTTCCCTGGCAGCTCACATGGTAAAGAATCTGCCTGCAATGCGGGAGACCTGGGTTCGATCCCTGAGTTGGGAAGAATCCTCTGGAGGAGGGCATGACAACCCACTCCAGTCTTCTTGCCTGGCAGATCCCATGGACAGAGGAGCCAGGGGGCTGCAGCCCGTGGGCACGACTGAGCACAGTATGTCCACTGATGTGAGGGAGATGTTGAAGTCCCCGCTGTTGCTGTGTCGTTGTCGGCTTCTCCCTTTTGGCCTGTTCCTATTTAGGCGCTGCTTTAGTAGGCGCCTAGATGTTCATGAGTATAGTATGCTCTTCATGTATTGATCCCTGTATCATGTAACGCCCTTCTTTGTCTTTTGTTAGACTTTGTTTTAAAGTCTACTGTGTCTGATAACAAGTGTTGCTGCCCTGCTTTCCTATTTCTATTTACATGAAGTATCTTTTTCCATCCCCTTTGCCTTCAGTCTGTGTCCTTAGTTGTGAAGTGAGTCTTTTAAGTAGCATATATAATTGTTGGGTCTTGTTAGTTTGGTTTGTGTCTTTTGATTGGAGCATAGTAGTCCATTGGCATTTACAGCGATTACTGATGGGTGTGTACTTATTGCCATGCGCTTGCTCGTTTTCTAGCTGTTTTTATCTACTTCTCCATTGTTTCTTGAGTTTTTTTTTGATTTGTGGTTACCTACCATGGGGTTCACGTATGTGATCTTTGTGGTAACTTAGGTGGTTGACCCACAGCCTTTACTATATATTTGCCCTTACTCATGGGCGTTTTCCTAATCTATAAATTCCTATAACTCTCAGGGTCAGTGTAGTAGTGATGAACTCTTTCAGTTTATGCTAGTCTGAAAAGTTCTTCACCTCTCCTTTAATTCTGAATGATAACGTTGCTGGGTGAAGCACCCCAGACTGTAGGTTTTCCTTTTGGGACTTTAAATATATCCTGCCACCCCTTCTGGTGTGAGCAGTTCCTGTGGAAGAACCCACTGAAGCCATGTGGGACTTCCCTTGTATGTGACTGTTTCTCTCTTGCTGCCTTTGGCATTCTCTCTTTAGCTTTTGCCACTTTAATTTTGGTATGTCTTGGTGTGGGTGTCTTTGGGTTCATCTTGTTTAGAGGTCTCTTTGCTTCCTGTACCTGGCTATTTGCTTCTTTAGGTTCAGGAAGTTTGCAGTCATAATCTCATCAAATACATTTTCAACCCTTCTTCTCGGACCCTTGTATATGAATGTTAGCACCCTTGCTGTTGTCCCAGAGGGATCTTAATTGGTCTTCATTTCTTAAAATGTGTTTCTTTTTGCTCTTCTGATTGGATAATTTTCACTCTGTCTTCCAGAACACCTACATGTTCTTCTGTATCACATAGCCGGTTATTATTCCTTCTAGTATGTTTTTCATTTCAGTTGTTGTATACTTCTGCTCTGATTTTTTTTTTTTTTTCTAGTTCCCTGTTAAAATTCTGTGTCCAATTCTTTTCCCTAATTCAGGTAGCGTTCTTACTACTAATACTTGGGACTCTTTTTCCGGTAATTATCTATTTGATTAGTTGTTTTCTCAGGTCGCTGCCTTCTCATTTTGCTTTAGTTTTCTGTGTCTGTGACATCAGGTGAAACAGTTAACCTATCACGTGTGATCCTGAAGGGGTGTCCCCGGGCACGTGCCTCATCGGGGAGCTGGATTCTCTGCACCACAGTAGCCATCACTGCCCTCGTGGGGTAGGGTCGGGTCCCACAGCTGGAGCAGAAGCCCTGAGGATCAGGTCCAGGCTGGTTCCGTTCCCTCTGAGTATGTGCTCGCCCCCCTCCCAGCAGGGGCATCCTTGCCCTTACAGGGGAGCAGGGCTGAGCGGGTGCTGGCTGGGCCGGCACGGAAACCAGCCAGTGCGTGCTCAGTCATGTCCGACTCTTTGCGACCCCATGGGCTGCAGCCCACCAGACTCCTCTGTCCATGGGATTCTCCAGGCAGGAATACTGGAGTGGGTGACTATCCCCTCTTCCAAGGGGTCTTTGAGCCAGGGGTTGAACCTGCATCTCCTGCATTGGCAAGCAGGTTCTTTACCACTGCGTGCCCTGGGACGCCCAGAACGAGCCAGAGCCCCGGACAGTCACATTCTGCTCCCTCTGCCTTAGTTGGGCAGTGAGCAAGCCCGTGCCCACACTTCACAAGTGGAGTCTAGGTTTCTTGCAGCCCTGCTGTTGGTCTTGCTAGTTTTCAAACCAGCCAGAGGACTTGTCTTCCTGGCGTCAGACCCCAAGGCTGGGACACGCAGTATGTGGTTCAGACCCCTCCCTCCCCAGAAAGGCACTCAAGCCCGTGCACCCCCTCCTCCCCAAGGTCCGTGTGGGCCCTTCCCCCAGCCCAGGGTCACAGGGCCCCACCAGGCTCCAGTCGGTTTTCAGTGGGACTCGCTCCTCACGTCAGGGTGGCGTGAGGTGAGCTCTGTGTCCTCCTGCTCTGCCGTCTTGCTCTCCTCTCCCCAGAAGGTAGATGAAATGCTAGCATCTCACCCAACATGCGATATGCCTGCCCCACAGTTCTTGCCAGGGACATGAAGAGCTAAGACCCACTCACAACTGCCAGCTTGTCTTCTGTTCCCGGTCATAAATTCATAGGCTGAAAGGCAGAAGGAATAGCCCTATTTCTTATTTCTCTGTCTCTTAGGTGAGTAGGAATTCCTGTTAAGATTTGAGGAAAGGTTAAGTAACTATCAGTTGTGTCTTACTAGTGTTCACTATTTTTCTTTAAGTCTTTGATTTTTCATGGCACTTTAAAACAAATTACTGAAGTTTGGGAGTTAGGATTCGGAGAAAATTTTAGTTGTAAATTTTTCAGAGATGGAAAGGAGGATGGAGAAGCTTATCAGAAGCATGACTTGGGAGCTGCAGAGGAAGGAGGGACTCGGGTAAGCGGGGAGGGTGTGCAGGGCTGGGGCCGTCATCCAGCGAGGGAAGCAGCCAACAGCGTTCCAGGCAGAGGGCCCGAGCCAGCGAAGGCAGGCGAACAGGACGCGGCGCCCTCAGGGAAGCAGGGAGGGCTGGGCGCTTGTGTGCATCGCCAGCACCAGGGAGTCTGGGTTTGAAAGCAGCGGGGAGCTGCCGAGGGTGTGGGCAGGGGGACTCTCCTTCCAGAAGTGCCCTGTGGCTGGAAGGGGCTGAGCTGGGGCATGGGCAAGGGGCAGCTCCGTCTGGGAGGGGCTGGCAGCCTCTGCCTCTGAAGCCACCCAGAGGAGAGCAGGCCGGGCCGGCCCAGGGCCGAGTCTCCCCCGCCCGCTCGGGCCTCCACTTGTGTCTGTAGGGGGCTGCGTCCCACTGTGGCCGGGGTAAATGAAGGAATGAAATGAGGGGCAGTGGTGGGGGAGTCTGCTGGGCATCTTTGCCAGCCCTCACATGAGATGGGGAAGCACAAGCCACTGCCCAGGACCCCTCCACAGCCTCAGAGGCTGGGGGTGCACGCGCCCTAAGGTCAAAGCTGCAGACCCTGAGTGCCAGCAGAATGCATTTGGTGGGCTTCACCCACAGCTTGTTGGGGGTCAGGGGGGGAGGGCCCAGCTGTGTGCTGCGCCCTTCCGGGAACCCCCCCAGAAGCTCGCAGCGTGGTGACTTGCTGGCATGTTGCTTCTCCTTGCCTTTCAGCATGGAATGGGAAGCAGGCTGTTTTGAGACCTCATTCAGTATCGAACCTGTTGTAAAGGCTCAATAGATATATTTTAAATTAAGCACTAGAGTAATGTCATAATATTTGCTCCATCATACTTAACTCTTATCCCCAGAAGTTGAAAGAATCTTTTGAAAAGCAACTTGGTTCAGACTAAATCTCTCTTAGTTTTGACTCCTAAACCAATTGGTTTTTTTTCTGCTCCTGGAATAACAAAACGTGAGTGTGTGGAAGCTGGTGGCGTGAGGGTCTCCCGCCAGCGGGGAGGGGGCGAGGACCTGGCTCAGGTACCCATCAGCGGTTCATCCCGAGAGGCCTAGAGGCCCCCCCCCCAAGGGGGGCCCCACAACACCCAGGCCCCTCTGCTGAGGAGGGCCTGTCCCCCGCCAGGGCAGCGCTTCTGGTTGCCCATGTGGTGGTCTGTCTCTCTCTGTAGGGAGGTCGGGGCCGAGGAGCTAGGCAGGCTCTGTGCCCGCGTCAGCGTGCTGCTGCAGGCGGAGGACTGGGGCCCTGACACGCTGGACGCCCTGCGGAGGCTCTTCCTCATCGTGGCGGCCACCAAGTATAGCAGGAGGTGAGCACCCGCCCCGGCCCCTGCCCCGCAGGCTGGAGCCCGCGTGCGTGGCGCAGGTGAGCACCCGCCCGGCCCCACGCAGGCTGACCGGCCCCTGCCCCGCAGGCTGGAGCCCGCGTGCGTGGCGCTGCTGCAGACCGCCCTCCGCTCGCCCTGCTGCCCCGAGCGGCTCCAGCTGCTGTGTGCCGCCGTGCTGAGAGAGATGGCGCCCTCCGACAGCCTGAGCCTGTCCTGCGGCCAAGCGCAGAGCTCGTGGCAGCTGGGCCTGGTGGCCTCCGTGCTCTTGGCCCAGGTACTGTGACTGCCGCGGCCCCCACCTCACCTTGGTGGCCCTGGGGCTCAGCGATCCAGCCGGCTGTGTGCACCCCTTGAGCGAGTGGGCTGGGCTGGGCCCCCCCTGGTGATGTTCTGGATGCCTGGGCGGAGTGGTGTTTGTGAGGGGAGTCGGCGTTCACGTTCCACTGGGGGGTCTGCAGGGCGACCCGCAGCAGGTCAGGACCATGGGCCAGCGTGTCATCAAGGTCCTGCTGGAGAGTCGGCAGCCTGAGGGGCACAGCCTGACGCACCTCCTCCCGGTCGTGTCCAAAGTGGCCAGCCTGGCCCCGGATGCCTTTCCTGAAGGTCAGCACACTCCTGTCAGCAGGGGGCTGGGTCCCAGGAAGCCCCGCACACTTAACTCCATCCCCATGGTGTCCCCCGCAGAGCAGACCAAGGCGCTCAGCAAGCGGCTGGGGGACTGGCTCCGCTACGCCAGCGTCCAGCAAGGGGCGGCCCATGCCTCCGGGGGCTTCTTCTCCACGCCCAGAGCCCGGCAGGTCAGTCTCAGGGGTGTGGGCCACCTGCGGGCTGCCATCTGCTCCTCCTGCGGGAGCGCTGCCCCATTCCAGGATGGCCCCTCCTGTCTCCACGCGGGCATTTGCGTGGTGCCTGGGCCCCGCCCCCGCGATGCTGTGAGGAGTCTCCGGTCGGGAGGGGATCATGAGCAGGGCCGTGTCATCAGCCCAAGCGCCCGCGTTCTCGCGTCCTACGAGGGCGCCCCGGCTGTTCTCGGCCTTTCCGCGCCCGCTGACCTTCCTTGTCCCCTGCAGCCGGGCCCTGTCACTGAGGTGGACGGGACCGTGGCCACGGACTTCTTCACAGTGCTGTCCACGGGCCAGCGCTTCACAGAGGACCAGCGGCTGAACGTGCAGGCCTTCTCCATGCTGCGGGCCTGGCTGCTGCAGGCGAGCCCCGCACACCCCAGCGCCACAGATGCAGGTGGGACAGGGCGGGCCCCTGGGTGCCTTTCCCAGACGTGTCAAAAAGCCAGACGTTGGAGTCAAACGACTCCTCATCTGCATGCCTGCTAGCAGTTTAGACAGTCCGGGTGCGTCTACACTGCGGGTGTCCAGTGAGGGTGGGAGCCGGCGGGACTGAGCACCGGCCCTGGGCGCCCAGATGGGCACGCTCCCCCGCCCTCCAGACCGCCCGTCCCCGCCAGCTGCTAAGCCATCCACCTCTCTTCAGACGACAGGTCGGAGCTGGAGGGCTCCACCGTGTCCGTGCTCTCGGCCGCCTCCACCGCCAGCCACCTGCTGCCGCCCGCCGAGTGGCTGCGGGAGAAGGCCCTGGAGTACTGCCAGCGCCTGCTGGAGCAGAGCGGCCGGCGTGAGTCCCGGGCCCGCCCCGCCTGCCCGCGCCGCGGCCCCCCCAGACGCAGGCTCCCCGGCCGCTCCTCGCCTGGAGGTGCCGGGGGACGCAGAGACCAGGCGGCCCCTTCCCTCCCGCAGGAGCCCTGAGGAAGGCCGACTGGGACCTGCAGAAGGCGGTGAGTGCCGGCGGGCGGCCCCGGGCGGCGGGGGCCCGCGCAGCCTCTGAGCCGCTGCGTCCCGCAGTGCCTGGCCGAGGCCGTGCTGCTGCTGGACCTGCTCTGCCAGCGGGACCCCGCCTTCCTGTACCGCGCCCTCCCGTGCCTGCGCGCCCTGCGGGCCCGGCTCCACGGCGGCCCAGCCTGCGCCCGCGCACTGCTGCCCATCGCCCGCTTCTTCCTGCGGCACGGTGAGCCCGGTCCTCCTCACAGCCCCTCCTCCGCCGGGGAGCGGCGCTACTTCGATGGGCACCTGGCGCTTAGGTGGAGGGGAGTGTTAAAATGCTACCAAGTCGGTCTTAACCTCGAACGCTTCACCACGGCGTTCCCTAGAAGGTGCCTGGAAGCCAGCCCCTCTGAGGAGCAGTCCTCACGTCCGTACCCGGAGGGGCGGCTCTGCGGCCAGACACAGGAAGAGCTGGGTGCGCCCTGCCGGCCCGTCTGTGCTTTGACGCCGGACGTGTCGGCCGGGGGTGTCCCGGGGACGCAAGGGGCCCTGGAGGCCGGGCCTGAGGCCGCCTGCCCTGACGGAGCTGGTGCTCTCAGGGGAGGCCGCCGCCGTGGACGCCGATGCTGTCTACCAGGACCTCTTCACCAGGATCCCGTCGGAACACTTCCACAGCCCGATGCTGGCCTTCGAGTTCATCCAGTTCTGCAGGGACCCCCTCCTGCTGCTCGGCAGCAACCTGGACCTTCTCAAAACCAGCTTCCCCAACCTCTTCAAGGCGTGTGAGCTGGGCCCCTGGGGCAGCGCGCACCCATGCACATGGTGACCCCATGCACACGGTGCGCTTGGGCTGGCAGAGCCCACAGAGTTAGTTCAGAGTTAGCAGCTCCGCTGGGGGCCCCGCCTGCGGTGTTCAGCCTTTTGGCACCATCATCTCTGACAGATGTTTTGAGGTTGGCATGTCACTGCAGGGCTTTTCCAAAATCAGAGACTTAGTCCTTTGCTCAGGGAGAAACGATGGCAGGCGCACAGAGATTGATTGTTGGCGCCAGGTGAGGGCGGAAGCAAGCAGGATCCCGGGGAGGACGGTGAAGGGCACGTTCCAACCCTGGGATCGGGGGGACTGAGGCGGCGCCCTCTCATCCCTGCAGTTTCTGGCCTGGAGCAGTCCGGCGCTCACCTCCGAGTTTGTGGCACTCCTGCCGGCGCTGGTCGACGCAGAGACGGCCGTGGAGATGCTCCACCTGCTGCTGGACCTGCCGAGCCTGACCGCGGCCTTGGACCTGCAGCTCCGGTGAGCCCCGCCCTCTGCTCCCCTTTCCCCCGCATCTGCCCCGCCTCCTGCAAGGCCTGGTCCAGGGCAGGCGCCGTTAGGGCGACGGCTGCTCAAGTCTCTCCCTGACCGGGGGCACCACGGGGCAGGGGCTGGGGCTGGAGCCCACGTCCCAGCCTGGCCACACCGTTGCTGCTCGCAGGTCGTCGCAGGCTGCGTCTGAGAGGCCGCTCTGGGACATCTCTGTGAGAGCCCCCGGCTGCCTGGAGGCCTTGCGGGACCCCCAGGCTCAGGGCCTCTTCCAGCACCTGCTGCGTGCCAAGGCCAGTGGGACCACAGAAAGGTAGGCCCACCAGGATGGGTCCTGAGCGCGGGCCGCTGCAACCGAAGCCCGGCCTTCTGACCTGGAGAGAGAGCTGTGCTCACGGCCGCCAGCACCGCTGACCGCGTGACTGAGCGCTTCCCGGGCACTGAGCTTGTGGTTTGTTCTGCTCCCCAGTCCTGTCCTTACTGCTCCGGCGGGTGGGGGCACACTGATTCCTTCCGCAGACGGAGGAGGTGAGGCTGAGCACCCGAGAGGCGGAAGCGCCGGGACTGGCCCCGGTCCCCTGACCCCCGCCACACCCGTCTCCCCAGGTTGACGCCGCTCCACCAGCTGCTGCAGCCCCTGGCCAGCTGCGCCCGGGTAGTCCAGTGTGCCCAGGCCGTGCCCACCCTACTCCGAGCGTTCTTCGCGGCAGTGACGCAGGTGAGCCTGCCTCCTAGGGCCTCCGTGCCCGCAGCAGAGGGCCAGCCGGAGCCAGGAGCCATAGGGCCCCAGCTTCACTGCTGGCGGGGGGCAGACTTCGGCAGTGCATGGGTCGGGGTAGAAAGTGCTACTCACAGCAGCCTGGGCCCAGCTCCTGTTCCCCCAGGACGCGGCTGTGAGCAGCCCCCAAGGCAGCAGACACAGCCAGGCCCGGCGCAGAGGTGTCTCTGGGCAGGTACCCAGGCTGTCTCTCCCTCCCAGTTCGCCGATGGGGCCCTGGCCAGCCGCCTGGCGCTGCTGCTCCTGGAGAGAAGTGATGCGCTTTTCCAGGTTGAGGGGTATGAAGCTGACCTGCACAGGTGCGTCTCTCCCGGCGGCTCCGCGGGGCTCCTCCCCTCCTATGGCTCCAGCCTCAGCACTTCATGGGCTGCCGCGCAGACCCTTCCCACTCCACAGGGTTGCCACATCCCCCCCCCCCCCAAGCTTCTCTTAGGCAAAGCCTTCCAGAAGGTGCCCTTTCTGAAAGCCCGACTCGTGTAGGCTCATCCCCTCGCCAGCCCAGCCCAAGGACGGAGCTGTCCCCACCCCACCACCCGGACGGCCGTGGGGCTGGGGTCTCTGAGGGGTGTTGTCTCCGGCAGGGTGCTGAGCTCCCAGTTCCCGGCCCTGTGCAAGCTGCACCCCCCGCTGGTGGTCGAGCAGGCCAAAGAGCTGCTGGAGTTCGTGGGCAGTCTGGGGGGGTCCTCTGGCACCGGGTACATGCTCACGTCTGTGGTAAGGTGGCCACCCTGTCACCCCAGCCCGCGCCTGACACGGGGCCTGCTGCGGGCTGAGTGCTGTCCCCTGCCCAGGTGTGGGCCATCGGCGAGTACCTCTCGGTGTCCTGGGACCGGCGCTGCACCGCAGAGCAGATCAACAGGTTCTTCGAAGCTCTGGAGGCCCTGCTTTTCGAGGTCACGCAGTCTCGGCCCTCCGCCGCCCTTCCCAAGTGTCCTCTGCAGGTCATCACCGTGCTCATGACCACGCTGACCAAGTTGGCCTCCCGGAGCCAAGACCTGATCCCCAGGTACAGGTTTGGGGCAGGTAGAGGGAACCTACAGCCTTCCCGTGGGGAAAGCGAAGGGCTTGGCGGCCGCCCCCTCCCAGACACCTGGACGCAGCGTCTGCATGAGCCTCCCAGCTGGACGTCAGTGGCCAGGGCTGTGGGCAGTTCTCGGAGTTAAGGCCACACTAGCCCGTGCTGGCGGCTGGGCCCCTGCCCGAGCCCCCGTCCACCTGAGGGGTGCGCTTGCACTGATGGGCTGGGCCCCCCACCCCCAGGGTCTCCCTGCTCCTGTCCAAGATGAGGACGCTGGCCCAGAGCCCAGCCGCGGGCCCCATGCACAGCGAAGGTGACCTGGGAGCTGTCCGCACACGGGCCACTGAGCTGCTCAACCTGCTCAAGATGCCCAGCGTGGCCCAGTTTGTGCTCACGCCCAGCGTGGAGGTGTCCCAGCCCCGCTATCACCGCGACTCCAACACAGCCCTGCCCCTGGCCCTGGACATGGTCAGCCGGCTGCTGGAGCGGGAGGCGAGCCTCCTGCCAGGGTGAGGGGACAGGGGCCCAGTGGGCACCAGGCTGCAGAGCCTGCTGTTCGGTCCCTGCCATGGCCTCGGGACGGAGAGGCTCGGGGAGGAGGTCATCATCTCAGCCTCAGGCTCTGCCTCCTCTGCTGGGGACAGCACTGAGTCTCGGCTTTGGCCCCTCTTGGGACTAGGTGAAGGCTGATCTGTGTCCTGCTGTTATTTGGGGGCAAGAGAAGATAAAAATAAACCTCCTTCACAAAAATATTTGTGCGCACGAGGCAGGGTCGGTTCCCTTTCTCTCCACCCAGGAAGCCCCGCAGGCTGCCCCATCGTCTCTGCACAGGGGCCCCGCTGCTGCTGGGCCAGGAGACCTGGCCCCAGATGTGGGGGGCCTTCCCCGGGGGTCCTCCTGCCTAATGCCCACGTGTCCCCGATGGTCGAGAACAGAGCAGTGACACGCGGTCAGAAAGGAGCTGTGTCCATCTCCCAGAGCCGACGGCTGCACTGGGAGATGAGTCTGGTCAGTGACTGGAGAGCTTTTCATGCTCCCGAGGAGCTTAGAGATGGGAAGGCGGGTTCGGGCCCTGCAGCCTCCCACCAGCAGGACAAGGCCACCCCAGCACATGCCGCTGGAAGCCTTACCCGGAGATCAGGTGCGCTCTGCTCTTACCCCAAGTGGGACACACTGGGTGCGGTGGGGCCAGAACCCCCTGCAGCCCCAGCGCTCCCTACCGCTCTTCCATTGAAGTCAGCCTGCGGTCCAGCCCCACCTGCGCCTGGAGGAGCCCGGCCACCAGGTGGCGCTGCTGCTCCGCGAGTCCCGGCCCGGCCGCCCTGGCCCCGTCCCCAGGCGCCGGCCACGCCCTTGGCCCCGCCCCCAGTAGGCTTCGCCCCTCTGGTGCCCAGCGGAGCGCAGCGTCTGCATGGTGTGCTGGCCTCAGATGCTTCCGCACGGCTGTACCCTCCCGGGGCGGGGCTGGCTCAGCCCTGCGAGCCCCTCATCCTTGCTGCCGAGCCCTCCGGACTTGGGTCCCGGGAGGCCCAGATGGAGCACATGTCACCTAGAAAAAAATCTCTCCATTTTGCAGACGCCCTGTAACGTGTAGCTTCCAGTGTTTTCAGGTCGTCAGGTATTGCAAGTTTGGGTCCCAAACGTGCGTTAAGAACTAGTCTGAGAACGTGGGTTTTGAGGGGATCTGCTTCCTCACACTGAGCCAAGGCCCCTCCAGCAGTGTTCCCTTCCCATTCTCTTTTCAGGATAGACTTTGGTGGTGGCTGAGTCTACTTGAACTACTTGAGTTCAAATCCTGACTGCCGCCCAGGTGGAGGTGGCGGTTACCGCCCATCCTGCCCTGGGCTCGTGTGGGGAGCGTGCGCCCACTCACCGGCAGGGCCGGGCAGCCCACGAGGTGTCCACACCACACACAGGTGGACGCTGGGAGCCTGGCCCAGCCGCGGTGCGAGGTCAAGGTCGAGGTCTGCGTGCCCGCAGAGCGCTCACCTGAGGCCGTGCCCAGGCGCGAGAGGGGGGCGGGGGCTTGCAGAGGCGGTTCTGTGCAGTTTCCCCCTGCCATTCCGCCCGCCCACGTGCCCCACCTTCACCTTAAAGTGAAACAGGGAAAGCATCCGAGTGACTGACGGCCGTGACCGGCTGCGATCCCACGGGCTCTGACGGCCCACAGCCGCCTCTGTCCGTGAAGCTAGGCACCAGTACTGGAGTCGGCAGCCAGTCCCTTCAACCGGGTGATAACAGTACCGGCCTCAAAGAACGGGTCCTCCCCCAGACCCGCGGGACTATACCCCAACCACGCAGGTGGGAGGGCGGGGGCCTCAGGCCAGGGGCCAGCCTCCCTGAACCTGTGGCCTCGGTTCAATCTGGGCTCTGAGAGTTTCTTTTGGGTTCAAGCATGCATTTTAAATGCCTTTTTACAAGTACATTTCAGGCAGGCCTTCTGGGGGCTCCATGCCCCTAGCGCCTGTGCTCTACAAAGAGAAACCGCCACCAGACCAGCCCCCGCCCCCCGCAGAGAGAAGCTCAGGCAGCAGCGAGCACAGCCAAACATAAAAGCCAGGGGGTGCATCTCACCCAGCGCCCGGGGAGCTGCTTCAAGGCAGTCAGAACTCCGATGCCCGACACAAAGCAGCCAGCGGGGCCGCCCTGGCCACCTGCTCACCAGCGTGCGGCAGGGAGTTGGTGGCACTTGAGGCCCAGGGCCTGGGACCCACCTGGGACAGACCGGGCTGCTGCTCCCCGCAGGAGGCTCCTTTCCACGTAGGCGGTGTGTCTGCAGCGGGCTGGCCAGGACCCCTCGTCCCCAGAGTCTGCGTGCCTGTCAGAGGAGGACACGGGCCCAGAGCCCGGCCCCAGGCTCCGCGCCCAGTGAGGATGCAGCCGAGCCTGCTGAAGACAGCGCCTCACCGTGACACCCGCACAGCCCCGCTGCTGGGGCAGGAGGCGGGCCTGCCACCGGGTGGATGCCAGGCAGAGAGCCCGGAGCCGGCCAGCCTGGTGTTAGGGCCCAGCCGCAGCAGAGGGGACACCAAGCGGCGAGGCCCGGGGAGGCCTGGGCACCCAGAGTGGGTCAAGACCCCCCACTTTATAGCCTTCCGAGGTTTGTAGACCATTTCTTCGGGACCGTGCTGATTGCGGCACCCCAAGCGCAAAGCCCACTCTGAGGAGTGGGCGGCTCTCACACCCCCTCCGTGGCAGGGGGCTTCCCGGCATGGCCTGCTGCTCCTCGTCTGGGGCGGGCGGAGGGCAGAACCATCCCACCACCCCAGGGACCCCGTGTCCTCACGGGTCTCCCACACCAGCAGGGACAGGAGCAGATCCAGGAGCCCCCGTGGCCCCTCTGGGAACCAGCATGGTGCCCCCCAGATGCATGCCCTGCCACCCTCTGGAATATGAAAGATAGTTTATTGAATCTATATTTTTCCATTAAAATCTTCAAACATAAAAGCTCTGTAACAAACATCACAACTGTTATCTGTCATATAAATAGAACATACACGAAGGGACTGCGGGTGTCCTGCAGGGGGCGCACCCGCGAGGAACAGCTTGGCCGAGGCGTGCGCGCGGGACCCAGCGCGCAAGGTGCCTAGGGGGGCGGCGTGCGGAAGCGGACCTTTCTGGCTGTCTCCATGTCAGACTTGGCAACCAGAAACCGCATAATCTTGCCTCCATGTCGGATCAGATCCACCGCCCTGAAAGCAGCCAAGGGATGCGGCCGGTGTAGACGAGCCTGCCCAGTGAGGACTTGGCGCTGGTCCAGCGGGCAGTGCCTCCTGGAGGTGCCCGGGGGGGCGGGGGGCAGCCTCCACCCACCAGTTGTCCCGAGGGGACAGTCAGAGACAGCAACCTGCATCCCCCGAGTGGGACGGAGCTCCAGGATCACAGAGCCAGGGCGCCCACTGCCACTCCAGAGCCCGCCCCGCCCCCGAGGCATCTGAGCCCCTGGGTGGGGACCAGGGAGGCATCAGGGCGAGTGAGGGAAGGAAGGGCAGGAGGCGACGCTGCGCCTCACTTGCTCGTCTCCAAACCGGCTGGTGACAGGGCCCGCTGCTGGGCTCTGAGGCTGCAGCCAGGCTCGGCCCCCGGGGCGGGTACCTTGGGTAGCTGACACCCGCCAGGCTGCTGCCGTTCACCTCCAGAATGCGGTCCCCCAGCGCCAGCCGCCCATCCGCCGCGGCGGGGCTGCCTGGGAGCAGGGTCTGGATGTAGAGTCCGGGGGTGCCCAGGGGCGTGTGCTGCAGCAGAGGAGCAGCCTCAGGGCTCCGCCGACCCTCTCCCGCGGGGCCCCAGCACAGGCGCCTCCACACCTCCCCAGGAGGGCCGGGGACGCTCACACACCCACGCTGTGATCGTAGGTGTGTCTGCAGGGCCGCGCGGGTCACCACTGGGCCCAGGGCCCAGGACAGACGCCCGAGGCAGAGGGCGCAGGTGGGAGACCCTGCCCGTCGCCCCACCCCCAGCCCTCCAGTCCCAGGAGGTGGCCCAGCCCCGGTCCCCGTGGTCGCGGGCCTCCCCCCACCTCGTGACCCCCCGGCTGTGGGCCTGTCGGGTGGAGAGGAGCCCAGGGCGCACAGGGCGGCCACTCACCATCCCGTCGATGAGGCCCATGCCGAGACCCGAGGGGCCGCGCTCCAGCTCCACCACGAACATGTAGCAGAAGTCGTCGGTGCTGGAGCTGCGGCTGGACGGGGCCAGAGGGGGCTCGTCCTCCGGGGCCGCACAGTCTCCTGTAGAAGCGGAAAGTGCTGCAGGTGAGGGGCGGCCGCTCAGGCCTCTGTCCAGAGTCTGCCCCAAGTCCAGGACCCGCATCCGGCTCAGCTGCTCCAGAGGACACTGGCTCCCGAAGGGCCGGCGGAGGCCCGCTGGGGCAGGCAGGCCGCCTGTGCTGCCGTGGGACCCCGCCCCTCTCAGGAGGCTGAGCAGGGGCTCTGCTCGAGGTCTCACCCGCCTCCTCCCCCAGCCCCACCCCCAGCGGTGATCCCCGTCTGCCCATCCTGAGGGGCGGCCCTGCTGCTCCCCACCTGGATGGCCGGTCCTCCCCACAGGGCCAGCCGTGCTGCCCACCTGAGCGGTGTCCTGCCTCGGGTGCACCCGTCCCCGCCCGTGGGGCACCCGCCCAGCTCGGCTGAGCACCGACGACTCGCCGGTCTGCCCCCACTGCCCTCAGCCCTGCCAGTGGCCTGAGCACACACGCGCCCAGGGCTCCAGGCCCTCCGCTCCCCCATCCTCCTGACCCACGGGCCTCGCACTGGCTCCGGGGCTGGAACGCACATCGGCAGCTGCCCGTTCCCCCCAAACCTCCTCCCCGGGGCCTGTCTGTCCAGGGTGACAGGCGCTCAGGGGTGACACTGACAGCCCAAGCCAGACATGCCGCCTGACTGCTCCGGGGAAGGACCTTGAGGGAGCTGCGGGGCCGGGCCAGGCTCACCTTCCCGGGAGGTGCCCCTTGGGCCGCCAGACCCCGTCCTCCGGCTTTCCGGGAGCACCCTCCCGCAGGCGCTGCCGCCTTCGGGCCAGTCGGGGGCCGCGGGCTCCAGGCTGAGCGGCGTGCCTGGGGGTGTGAGCAGGCATGAGGGGTCCCCGTGCGGATCTGCAGCCTGGGGGCCCCTGCGGCTCGGGCGGCCGGGCGGCCTTCCTGGGGGACCCTGTGCCCGGGGACCCCCCACGGAAGGTAGGGGGTGCTCCAGGCCAGCCTCCCGGGCTCCCCCGCTGGGGTCCCTGGAAGCCGGCGGGCAGCTCTGGGCCTCAGGGTGGCCCTCGGGACCGGCGTGGTGCAGGCCCTGGGGAGACGAGAGAGCACTCAGCCCCGAGCGGCGGACCTGAGAGGGGGAGAGAGGGCCCCCGAGCCGCCGGTGCCCCGCTGCTGCATCCCCGGCACCTGGAGGCCCTCAGGCCGGGCTGGCGCTCCGCTGGGGCTGGGCTGGCTCCGCAGGCTGCACAAAAAGTGACGGATGTAGAGAAGGTGCTGGTACACGCGCTCGTCCGGGCACTCCGCGTCCAGGTCCACCTGGAAGCCCTCGCTCGGCAGGACGATGGGCGGGGGGTTCTCATAGGACTCCAGGACCTCCTCTGGGGGGGCGAGGGGCTGTGACCTCAGCCAGGAGGCGCTGCCTGCGCCCTGCCCGCCGCCACCGGACCCTAGGCAGCTCCGCCAGGGGGAACGTGCGCTCCACACCCTCCCCAGCGCCCCCGGCCCAGCACCCACCCACGCTGGGGGCGCCCACAGCCATGCCAACTGCACCCCACACCGTCACTCACGGGCACGGCCCGCCTGCGTGCTGGCCTCCACACCGGGAACGGGGCTCCCCACCCCCAGACAGAGCCCCCTCGCAGGCCTTGGATGTGACCCCGTACAACGGGGGACCGTGCAGAGCCCAAGCCCGGGTGATGAGGGGGAGATGGGGGCGAAGCCCCTTCTGTCTGTAGCCCACCCTGCACTGTCCATCTGTCACACCCTGCTCACGACGAGACAGGCTCGGCTGACTCACAAAGAGCACGTGCACGTGTGTAGGTCTGTGCCCATGTGCACGAGCATGTGCACGAGCATGTGCACACGGCAGGTGTGCTCAGGACCGCGCCGCGTCGAGCTGCCCAGTGTGAACAGCCTGCCCCTGCCTGGTGGCTGAGCTCTGCACAAGGCCCCGAGGGGCAGCGGGGACCTGTGACCGAGCCCGGACCTCGGGGGCCAAGGGGAGCCCCAGCCCGGGGCCGCCTTCCTCCTCGGGGGTCCTGCCCTGCCCCCTCCGGGGACAGGGCGTCCAGGAGCCCACGGACAACGCCCCAGCTCGCAGCCCCCCGGACGGGCCTCACCTGACTTGAAGGCGGCGGTGCCGTCCTGGGCGCCCGGCTCCCAGGCGCTCATGGGGCCCATGGCCGAGGCCAGCTGGTACTGGGTCAGCAGCCGGTGCAGCTGCGCGGGGCTCAGGGCAGGGAAGGCGGCCCGCAGGCTCGCCCAGCTCATCTGCCACAAGAAGCTCCAGGTCACAGGCCGCACAGCCCACCCCACGCAAGCGGGGCTGGCCTGCCTTCCGGGGAGCCCCCGGGGCCCCCAGCACACACTCTGCCCCCGGGGGTCAGGCAGACAGTGAGGTCTGCAAGGGGACCAGGGAGGGCTCCGGGAACACTCAGACCGCCCCTGCCTTCTGCAGGGGGAGCCTCCTGAGGAGGCCGGCACTGGGGGGCCCAGGGGTCCGGGGTGAGAGCACTCCCTGGCCACCAGGGCTCTGGACTCCAGGCGGGAGGCCCTCGTGGGGAACCTGGGGGGCGGCTGTGCGTCCGCTCCTGGGAAGCGGGAAGCCGCCGTGCCCGTGGCCCCCGGGACATGGGTCTCCCCCCGGGGGCCGGCAGGGGCGCGCCCGGCGCAGCCTTGGCCCCTTTGCTCTGCCTCTCTGGTCTCACTGACTGTCTTTTTCCTTCCTCCTCTCTCCCTTTCTCGCTTGACTTCCCCGCCAACATCAGAGGCCTGGGCGGGGCCACGGGGGGCCCTGAGCTGCAGGGGGGCAGCCCCATCCTCACCGCGTCCCGCACCCAGCGAGGGAGTCAACGGGCGCCCGACGGCCGGGCACCTCCTTCCCATCTCACGGGCTCTGCTTTCTGGGAAATTCCCCGAACTTCAACTTCCAACTCTGCTACTGAACTTTGCATCTCTGCTGTCACAGATTTAACTTCCAGAACTTTCTGTTCTCTCATTTACAGCATCCGGTCATTATGTTATGGATACTCTGCCTCCTCTTTACAAGAATATCGGCGGTATTTTAAACAAGCTTCTTCTCCCTAAACGGTCTGGCTTGAGGCTGGCAGACAACGGTGCCGGGCGGTGAGTGACAGCCCAGGCAGGACTGCGGGTGGCAGGCAGCGAGCCCACGGGGCTGCCCACCGCCCGGCAGGAAAGGGCCCGGCGGCCTCATCCCCCCGGCGACGGCGGTCATGGAGGCCTCATCCCCCTGGAGGCGGGCAGCTGCCATCCTGTCTCCGGCTGCTGATGTAGCAAACGTGCTCGAACGTGGCAGCGAGAACACGCACAGCCTCGCAGGTCTCGGGGTCAGACACGGCGCACTCGGGGCTAAACCGAGCATCAGGGGCTGCGCTCCCCTGGCAGCGCCAGGGCAGGACC